ACATGGTTTCATGTCCTGTCAATTAAAACAGTTGAACGACAGATTGGATGGTTGTTTATATTTTCTGTTAGTAGAGTGGATAGGGATTTAATTAAAACATTTAAATCCTAATTTTATGTCGTGTCATGGCAATGAACTGTTGAGCGGCACTACATTAGTTTAGATGGGAATTTATATATATAAATTATGGTACCGTGATCTGAGCTTGAGTCTCATAGTCGACGGTTAGGGAGCGTATATGCAGTAGGATGCGTAGCTAGCTATGTTGGTTGAGGTATACCCTGTTAGACTTAGGTAGTTATGCCCACTTAGGTGCATTTTTGCATGTTACCTTCTATTTAGGTTGGGACCCTCAACATAACCTAGTGAGAGTCCTGCAGTGTGGTTATATGTATATATCTATTTACGGACTATATAGATATGGTTGAGACATCTAGGATGTATCTGAGTATCGGGTCTCTATTTGGATTATAGTTAGGATAAAACTTGTTCGTGGGCCTGACCCACTATTATTTTTCAGGTAACGGATGGTATCAGGTTTTAGAGCTTGTTCGTGCTAAGCAGATACGACTACTCACTTTACCGACGACGTAGGCGGTTCCTGTATGGTTTAGCATTGGATTCCTTTCCGATGGTTCATTTCTCAGTGTTGGTTTTATTAGGGGTTCACCAGATGGATTCCCGAGTTGTATTAGAATTGGAGAAGTTGGATGTATCCGATTAATACTTTATTTATAAAATTTTTATTTTGAGGTTTTAATATTTGGATTATCATTCTAGTTTATTTTCAGTAATTTATTTATTCCTGTTTTCTTAATTGTATTCTGTATTCGTTTATTGCTAATTGGTTTGATATCCTTGGGTAATTGGGTGTGGGCCTGGCTAACCCGCATCCGAAAATCCGGGGGTATCACATCTCATAACTTCAAATTATTAAAAAAATGTCATTAGTGTCGGTGGTAGATTCATATTTTCCTAATCCCCACAAATTGAGATTTTTTTAAGGGCTAAAATCATAAAACCCCCACAACGTTCAATTTTTGATCATAAAATCCCAATGTATTTCTAAAAATGCCAACACTATTAGAAAGTTATCACATTGACTCAATTCTGTTAGTTTGGGACGTTAAAGTACTCACTTGCATTGGCAAAATATTTTTACTTACAAAATTATCCCCGTAAAAACATGTGTCAACCTGTGCTGTTACATTTTTTGTTATTCCAAAAATGCCCCTAAGTATGTTAAATAATAGAAGTCGTTGTTTGCTCATTTACTAAAAATGATTGAATTTTAATGTTTGAATTAAAATTTTAAATAATTTATGACTGAAGGCATTAAAAGAATATTTAAAAAATTTACCATCAAATTATGCATTTCCTTTTTAAACACAGATTAGGCCTTTCATTTTATTTATTTTTTAGAAATACAATAAATCTAACATTGGAGATCTTCTTCCAATTGAGTTTTGAATCTATTGTTTTTTTATTTATACCATTTTTCAAAATAAGAATTAAACTTTTGTAATTAAAATGTTATTCAAAATTTAGTGGTTATTCAAAATCTATTAGTTTGCCATTTAAACATATTTGAAAAAAATTATTAGCTATCCTAATTGTTGTCAATTTTTATATTTAAATTGTGTAGTAATTAGTCAGTTTTTTGAAGTGTGAAAATGATTCAATTTTTCAAAAATATAAAATAAATAATGATATTTTAATTACTTATTTAGTTTTTTGTTTACCAAATTATGAATTCTACAAAAGATTTTTTTTTTTTAACTTGAACTAAATTATAATATTTGTGTGAGGGTGATTTTGTAATTTGAAAAATATCAAATTTTCTTTTTTGAATTAAAGTGGTATATCATAAGGGTAATTTAGTCATTTAATTAGCCTTTAACAGTTCATTGACATAATTGGGCCAATGTGATAATTTTGTTTCAGTGTTAAGGTTTTTAGAAACATATTAGGGTTTTATGATAAAAAATTAAAAGTAGAGGGCCTTTTATGATTTTAGCCTTTTTTTTTTTTCCAAATAGTTCAATGTTATAATGTCAATTTAACAACATTAATTTATATATTTAAATGATAATTAATTAATACATTCTTAAATGCTATTAAATAATCATTAATTAATTTTAATCCACAATCAGTATGTATGTGAATCTAACAATTCTATCGGATTAGACTCCCGGATCAAATGCACACTCCTAATATTTAATAAATTCTACAATATTGCTTGGACTACGGATTAAATGCCCCCCCCCCCCCCCCCTAATATTTGACACCTTGGTTCCTACAATGTTGCTCACTTTCAGATACACAACATATATATTTGTATTACAACTTATATACTTGTATTTGTAAGCACTGCGGCCACCAAAGTCAGATGCGCTACATTTTTTGAAATGATTACCATTTTTATCACCAAGACAGACAGCACCTTGTTTTAAGAGCTCCTCACGTTTGCCATTATACAAGTTATTTTAATATTTAATTAGTTTGACACTGGCTGGGAGGCACGGTACCTGTTCCTACTAATTTTTTTTATTTACACTTTTAAATTTATATATATATTTTTTATATTTATACCTATAAAAATTTGAAATTACCACCACTAATATTATGAAAAACCTTTCTACATAATATTCCTCCTTACAAGAACAATAATTTAAGCGACAATTTAAATAAAAAGTATAAACACATTTATTATATATATATATATATATTAAATTCTCACATATTATATATGATATGAATTCTATTTATCTCATAATTAAGTCTAGTTTTATTTATTATTATTGTAAAAAAGAATTAAATTATTACTTAAAGGTCATAAATAAATAATTACATCAGTTCCATGTTCTTAATTTTTATTTATTTTTTTATTTTTATAAAAATCACTAAAATGTAATAAAATTCATTTTTAAATTGGGACAATCAACACATGATATGATTGTTCATTTATTAATGATTAAATTTATTATGGTTCATTAATTTGTTAAAAATGTAATTGTATTGCAACTTAAAATTATAAATAGGTTATTACATGCGTTAAATGGTCTTAAAAAATTCAATAAAAATTTACTAAAAATTTATTTTTATCGGATTAGTTGTAAAAATATGCGTATCAATACATTTTGTACCCAATGTGCGAGATTTCATTATACTAAAACCACGTCCGAGATTTCATTAAACTAAAACCACGTTCACGACAAAGTTGATATATCCTTTTCCCGAAAGTTAAAAGTTAAGGAAAATAAATTATATTTATGTCTTATCAAAATCCGTTTCTTTTTAAGTCCGTTTAGAAAATAGAATAAAGAAATACACTATATTTTGACCTAAGATTACTTACACTGTCCACAAAATCAAAAGTACTTTATATTTTCTTGTCTAATTAGAAATACAAAAAAATATATTAAATATTATATATTAAAGTATTTTCTTTTCTAATTATATATATTTTTAATTAGGTAATTTGTGATAGAGTTTTATATAAACTTTTTGAAAAAATAAATTATTTATTTTATGCATATATTTTATTTATTTATAAAATTAGAAAAGATGTGGAGACTAAATAGACTAAATTATTTATATATATATTTTTTATATGTTTTCTTGTCTAATTAGAAAGACTAAATTATTTATTTTCTTTATGTATTTCTTTATCTAATTAAATTTATTATTAAAAAATAATATATTGAAACATATTAATGTACTGAAATTCTTTGTATAACTCGAATCTTTTTATAATATATCATTGTACCATTGTGATTGTAAGATGAGTACCGTGCTTCCTTTGCAAAATTTCACCAGGCGGTGTCACTCTTGCAATTATCTCTGCCTGTGTAATCTCCTCGTGTTACGTGAACTTGCATGATTAATAATAAAAACAATTTAGCATTACAATTACAAAAATCTAGACAATAAACACATAAAAACATTGATACATAAGAGAGGTTGATAAAGTACATGAGACCAGGAGTTAGCTTGGGCCCGAGGGGCATGTGGCCCGGAGGGCCCTAAGCTAGCCCATTAAAATGATTACATACGTAGGTATAAAACTTATAAAATATTACTTTGTGTCTACTTGAAATGAATTTTTTTCACACATAAAACTAAATACTGGCTCATCTCTGCATGAGACTATCACAGAGTAAATTCTTTTAGCATTTTAAAATTCTTTTAGCATTAAAACTAAAAATTTTATACAAGAAACAGATATTGAAAAATTAAAATCTATACACTTCATAGGATAACATATATTGAATTTGTTTCTTTATATAATTTGTTGTCTAATTAAAAAGACTAAATTATTTATTTATTTTTTGTCTAATTAGAAAGACTAAATTATTTATTATTTCCTTATATAATTAAATTTATTATTAAAAATAATTTACTGAAACATTGAAATTTAGAAAATGAATTACGTTTCTCCGTGTGGCAAATAATTTTTTTAATATTTAAATATTAAATATTTCCTTCTCAAGAAAATATATTAAATATTATATATTAAAGTATTTCCTTTTTTAATTAGATAATTTGTGATAGAGTTTTATATATATTCTTGTTTAATTAGAAACACTAAATTATTTATTTATTTTTATATATTTTCTTGTCTAATTAGAAAGACTAAATTATTTATTTTCTTTATATATATCCTTATCTAATTAAATTTATTATTAAAAATAATATATTAAAATACATTAATGTACTGAATATAGATACATAAATTTAATATATGTGTTATAATAACCAGGCCAGATCACGAAGCACGCCTGAGCATTCATCGGCTCTGCCCTGCTTATTGGAGGTAAGGAAAGGTACAGATACAGTTCATTCTAATTTCTAAGCCGGTTTTGCAAGGGAACAATGGGCTTGGGCCTTTGTACGGATTAGTAGATCCAAATGACACAAGATGGATTTGCTTAGGGCCGATCAGCATTAGTCCATACCCGATAGGCCCGTTACCCAGTTGCCTCTGGAAGAAGAGTCCACCGTTGGAGTGGTGAGATCAGATCGACGGAAAACAACGGTTTAGAGAGAGAAAGTAACGAGAGAAGAAATACAGAAACAGTGAGACGGAGCACGTCATATATACCCGGTGTGTGTCTAATGGGAACGACGGCATTAGCGCCGGGATTGTCACGGAAGCTGAAGAAAGTGTTGGAAACTCGAACGGACAGTCCAGATCTGCTGGCATCGCTCAACACACTCTCCACCTTCTACGCCGAAAACACCCCTCACGCCCGTCGCAATCTCCGATCCACCATCGAGAAGCGATCTCTCTCCATCAACCATGAGTTTCTCCTCGCCTCCGATACTGCTCAACAGGTTCCCCTTTCTCTCTTTATCTATGAGATTCTCTCTCTAAAATTTTGCGTAATTGGGGTTCAATTTATATGTTGTTGGTTTAGGCGCTGGATCGGGTGGAGGAGGAGGTAAATGCGCTGGCTGAATGCTGCGACAAGTAAGATGAGAAGTTGTTCTTTCTTGCTTTTACTCAATTTATGTGGGTGCCTTTGTTTGGAGATAAAAATTATATCACTTCTATCTGATAGTTTTTTGAGCTTCGTATATAATGTATTTGGTTTCGTTGCATGGTCTCCAATTTAAAGTTTTTCTACTGTCTCTCATGGCTAGTGGCCAGAAAAAGACCAAAAAAAAAAAAAATCCTTGTTGAAAAAGGAACAATGTTTCCGATTTCTTGATGATTACTAATGTGCTGTACCATCTTTTATTGCTAGTAGTGGAAATTGGGACTGTGCATTATAGTCAAAGTTCCCTTAACTTCTAAATAACCTGGACTCCATCACTCTTGTCGAGCTGATGGTTACACAATTACTTTGTTGTTGCTTCTACCACTAATATAGGTTCTCATTCTCAATATTGACTTAAAAGAAACTGTGAACCAACATAACAATGATCAGTTTAATTGTGAAGAAAGATCTGAATCAAAGAAGCATGATTATATTTATGCTGCTGTCTCAGTAATATCAATTATCATTTTTTTTATAAGTATCATTAATGATCATATTTGAAGCATTACCAAAATGATTCTCTACATCACCCTTTGACTAAACAAAGAATTGAGAAAGCCAAGATCCTTGTAAAGCATGGGAGACACTAAAGATGTGCATCGAAGGAGGAAGAAGACAATCACTTTGTACTAGGAGTAGCAAGTCCGTATAGAAAAGTAATTACTTAGGATATGCAGTTTCTGTGTTGGGCAGGCGAACAAGTTGCACGATACTCCTCCCAGCTCTCACACAACATGTGAGAAATGGTCCATGTGTGTTAATTTTTTTTATTTTTTATGTAGGAAAAAAAGGTATCATGTTATCAAAAAAAAAAGAAAAAAGAAAAAAAGAAAAAAGAGGTATCATGTGCTTGGAGTCGCGGACTAAACATGCCAAACGTAGGATCTTTGTTGGCTGCATCCTCTACTCCTACCTGCTCTCAGACAACATGTGAGAAATGGTCCATGTTTGTGTTAAATTATTATATATTTTAGAAGAAAAAGGTGTCATGTGCTTGGGGTCACAGACTAAACAGGCCAAACATAGGATCTTTGTTGATTCCGATTGGGTGGGAATGGAATGTTGTCGTCCTGCCTTTACCTCGTTGCAGCATCCTTGCATGTTACATATTTTTATTTCATGCCTTTGGCTCAAAGGGGTGAAGGAAAAAGCTTCATTTCTTTTTTGACAAAGATAGTTGGGATTCAAAATTCTCCACAGGCATTTTTATACCACTTGCCTGGTATATAAAGAAATATTCCTTATAAGATCTTCTTATAAGACTTTAAGTTTGTATCTGCAGAATTGAAAAGGCATTAAGCAGTTGTAGTGCTACTACTGGAGATATTATCAGTACCACAGAAAGGCTCAAACAAGAACTTGAAATCACTACTCAGAGGCAAGAGATCGTGTCATGTTTCCTTCGTGATTATCAGCTTTCTAATGAAGAGGTCTATTTTTTACTCTCAAAATTTTGTACTCCTCTATACATTGTAAATTAAACTTGTGTTGTGCTTATCCATATTCATTGCTAGTGACTATCCCTTGTAGATAAATGCGCTGAGGGAAGAAGACCTGAATGAGAACTTTTTTAAGGCACTTTCTCATGTTCAAGAAATTCATGCCAACTGCAAAGTGCTGCTGCGGACACATCACCAGGTACTCTCTCACCTTCTCTCCCTCTCTCTCTCTCACCTACTCTGTCTTCCTCCCCCTACCTTCTTAGGTTTTTTTACTTCAACAGTGTGAACATGTTCAACAATTGCACACAGATATGCTGCACTTGGTTGTTGCACTCAACATAATTAATTAAGATAGTTATTGTTATGGTTGTGGTATTGATGGTGATACACTGGTTATCTGGCTACTATTCTTTTAAATATGTTGCCAAATTTGTGGGGAATTTTCCGCAATGGGCGAAAGCCTGACGGAGCAATGCCACGTGGAGGTTAATTAAGTTTTTGATATGGTTTATGGTTTTATGGTATTGATGGTGATACACTGGTTATCTTGCTACTATTCTTTTTGCCAAATTTGTGCCTACAGTTGGATTCTGGTCATATTATTGTGAATGTGAAGATAATACTCTGATGTAAGAATGAAATAAGTTCGCTTGGATTAGATTTTAGTACCTGAATACCATATATAAAGAAAGAAAGAAAGAAAAGAATGAAGTATAATGAAGATTGAAAATGCAGATGACTACTGAGGATGCTATATGTTGCTTGACAGACATCATTTAATGAAAGAAGATACAAGTTGCTAAGACAAGAAATTCTTATTTCTGTCAATATAGATTACTTTTTAGCCACTGTGCCCCCTTCTTCTAGATTATTTTTCTGACTTTTGTTGCTTCTAAGCAGAAAAAAAAAAAAAAAAAAAAAAAAAAAAAAACATGTATGCAGTATTCACTCGAGGACCTTTTTCAGCGTGCAGGTTTGGAGCTGATGGATATGATGGCTGTGTACCAAGAAGGAGCATATGAGCGCCTGTGCAGGTGAAGCTTCAAATCAACGTGTCTTTATCTAAAAGTTCCATTTCATTGGGATTCAATCTCTTTCTGACTATTGTGCTATTCGAGACATAATGGAACTAAAACTCTCTTCAGAGTTCTCTGTGAAAAATATCTCTGTCAATTTTGATAGCTTTTGCATCTTTATGAACATTTGGTAAAGAAGGTATCCCTTCTCACTAGAATATGTTGTTATCCTTGTTATTGTTTTAATCTCTTATACAACTTTACTTGCAGCTATTTTTAGCTGTTGTGCAGAGCAGTGTCGTAATCTTCTGCATTAGTGTGCCCATAATGTTGGCCAGCTTGATTTCAACCTGAATGTTGGCAATGTTTTATATCAGAATAAGCGCTACAGCTGTTCTCCACCTTAGGAATTGTTTACATTTTGATATTATGATACAACTAACCCTTTCAAGTTCAAATTGGTAAGGAATGTTGGTTGCTAAATGTTAAAAACCATCTACTCTAAAAGCTTAAGCTGTTAGAGGCAGTGTAACTTTAATATTTAAATCCTTCGACATGCCCCCTCACGTGTGGCCTTCCCTTCTTTTGGTCCAACACACGTTTCAGTTTTAATTCTGAGGGTGACGATGAGGTTTGAACAGAGTACGTTGCCTGCTCTGATACTATGATAACAACAATTCACTTTAAAAGCTTAAGCTATTAGAGAGGGTGTAACTTTAATATTTAAAGCATTCAGTGCTAAATTTAATGCTCTCTATCTCCTTGGGGCACTATGTTGTGAATATTAGTTGGCATCAAAGGTATATACACGTGCTTTCTGAGAGATGAGAAGTTTGTTTCTTTGTTCTAACCGGTCAGTCATAATATCTGTCATTTTTTAAGTACTTGTCATATACAAGGTCGGGTCTCTTATTTATTTGAATTTTTAGACAAGTGTATGGCAAAAAAATGAAAAAATGGAAACTTACGCCTTCTTGTGAAGTTGGAAGTAAGCATGAGTTGTAGATTTTATTAGAACGCCATTTAAGATGGTCTGTTCATGTGGAAGACCAATAATTGTACCATTGTCGAAGTGTGACATAGTCCATGTTGAGTGTGCTGGGATGGCAAAGGGGAGGCCAAAATTTTCTTGGGACATTATTGATAGCCTTGAAGGATGATGGGAATGCCAATGTTGATATGGATGAGGTGATAAGAAAAGATGGTTAATGCATGGCTTAAAAAATATTATGGCTGTATGGAGAAGAACGGACAAACAATATTGACACAGCTGACACCCAAATAGTTGGTTTTCTTGAGTCGAGTTATTCTGTGGACAAATTGGATACAAGTGTGGAACAACTTTTACTTTATCTTCCTAAAGCTGTAGATATTTGATTGTGAGCAACCAGGTTATATGTACTTGAGGTTATGTCTTATCCGGTCAGTAGAAAATGCATTCTGAATATTTGTTTTCTTTCATTAATCTGGAAGGAATGTTTTGATTGATTTTTAATAACAAGGGATTTCTTTTTTATGGAATAGGGAATGTATGTTAGGCTGTTCTGGTTGTTTGAAGTTCATAATGATTTTGGGATTTTTTTTAGACGCATGAAATAAGGGTTTTGCATTTTGTCCAAGCTTTTGTACATCACAAGGGCAAGCTCTTTTAGCATGTATACTTAAACTTTGAGTTCTTTAGATTCTAATAGAACATATTATACAATCCTTTCAATTTTTGAAGAAGTTGATATGCCAATAGTGAATGCCCCGCAAAGCCACGGACTATTTTTTTCAACGGTTTCTGTAACCTGATCATTCCAGTCGGAGAGCATATTCATTCTCAAACAACGGACTGGAGCATTGACAGTGAATCCCTACTCAATCTGCATATTAGATTTTTTGTATTGCAGTAGAGAGCTCTCATCAATGCGCCCCAAGATTTCTAAATTAGTTTTGTAGACAACTCTTTTGAGTTGTGGTTTGATAAGAAAAGTCTGAAAATTACAAAACACGCTGATACAGTAATGATCGCCTGCTGTTCTACTCCTTCAGTTATACTCAACTCTGGAAGTGCTATTTTTTATTAAGCACTCATCATCACCTTTTATTAACATACACACTATACTTCTGTATTAAAATACGGAGGCACGAATACTTTTGGACCTGAGGAATACATAAAATCAATAGTCATGAGCTTTTGCTTCTGCTTTAGTTACTTGGTAAAGAGATTGAGTTTTTTCTAGGTACGAAATTGTGGGGGTGGGGGGTAGAGGGGGTTGATCTTCCCTTCTGATACATTTTAATTTAAGCTTATTCAAATTAATTTACTCCAGTTGTGTTTCTTGGACAAGTACTCTTTCTTATGAGTTATGACTATTTTCACCTTCATCTAGGTGGCTTCAAGCAGAGTGTAGGAGACTAGGTGACACGGATAATCCCGAAGTTAGTGAACTTCTGAAAACAGCAGTTCGCTGCCTCAAAGAAAGGCCTGTTCTTTTCAAGTATTGCGCTGAAGAGGTTATTATTTTGTGGTAGTTTAAATGTGGAATAACCATGTTGTAAAAATCCTAGCGAGCTTTATCTAATTATTTATATTCACCATGTAAACATTTTGTCATACAGGTAGCAAATATGAGACATAACACATTGTTTAGAAGGTTTATAAGTGCCCTAACACGTGGAGGGCCTGGTGGACTGCCCAGACCAATTGAAGTGCATGCTCATGATCCCCTACGATATGTAGGTGACATGCTAGGGTGGCTACATCAGGTGAGAGGCTTGCTCCTGTAGGTTCGACTTTCATTTTTCTGATAAAGAGGATCTATTGTCATATATTGTTTCGGTTTTTGCAGGCTTTGGCATCTGAAAGAGAACTTGTCCTTGTTTTGTTTGATCCAGATGCAGTGGTTGATACTGGACCAACTGCACGCCGGTTCTCCAAAGGCTCTGAGAGTGATATAGGAAAGACTGAATCTGACTTGACATTTGTTCTAGACAGGATCTTTGAAGGAGTTTGCCGTCCTTTTAAAGTTAGAGTTGAACAAGTTTTGCAATCTCAACCCAGTCTAATAGTTTCCTACAAACTTAGTAATACCCTGGAGTTTTATACCTACACTGTGAGTTGAACTATTCCTCTTACCGATTGAATAATCACTATGTTTTTTATTATTTTTTTTTTTTTGTTTTTTTTTTTTTTGACTATATGTTACCTTACAGATATCAGATTTGCTAGGGAGAGAAACTGCTCTTTGTAATACACTTTGGGTACTCAAGGATGCTGCTCAGAAAACATTTTTTGACATTCTAAAAACTCGAGGGGAGAAGCTTTTACGATATCCTCCCCTTATTGCTGTTGATCTTTCTCCACCACCAGCGGTGAGGGAAGGAGTCTCTGTGTTGCTTGAAATAATTGATACACATGACAGCATGATGGTTCCTGCATCAGCAATGAAGCCTGCCTTTGATCCAGTGATATCTGCTTTACTAGATCCTATTATTCAGGTACGTTGTGCTTGTATTTAACATAGAGTATATCTTGTTGTATTGACAGACCTCTCCTGGTTGCCTATGCTGTAACAAAATAACACAATCTACATACTTGATGTTTCAGCAAAAGTTTTACTACCTTTTAATTTCATTTATTTACTTGGATCGCATTAGTGTTTGGGTATTGGTGGGTGGGCCTTTCACTTGGTCCAGTGGTCGTTCTCTTCCTACCTTCTCTCGACTTGATAGATTCCTTGTGTCGAGCGATTGGGAGGAGCACTTTTCGGATGTTGTTCAGGCCACTTTGGCTCGCCCTTTATTTGACCATGTTCCGTTGATGTTGGATTGTGGTGGGCTGCATAATAGAAGATCCCCTTTTCGATTTGAGAACATGTGGCTTCGGGCTGAGGGGTTTCTGGAGCAAGTTCGTTCTTGGTGGTTGGGGTATTGTGTGGCAGGCACCCCTAGTCACTCTCTCGCAGGTAAGCTGCGGTTCTTGAAGAATGATCTTAAGGTTTGGAACAAAGAGGTTTTTGGCAATCTTGTGTGGAGGAAGAATCGGGTTTTTGCTGAGATTGATCATTTGGAGGGTCAGGGCACTTTGGCGGACTCCTTTAAAATTAGGAGAGTGGAGTGTCAGGCGGAGTTTGTTGAGATTGCTGTCTTGGAAGAAATCTCATGGAGGCAAAAGTCTAGAGCTTTGTGGCTCAAGGAAGGTGACAATAATACGAAATTTTTTCATAGACTTGCCAACGCTCATAGAAGGGGCAACCATATTGGGAGGATTCGGGTGGATGGGGAGGTTTTTTTGTAAGGAGGAGGAGATTTGTAAGGGTTTTACTGATTTCTTTTCTATGTTGTTATTGAACTGGATGGTTGGAGACCTTTGCTGGCTGGGCTTCATTTTGACTCTATTTCGAGTGAGGAGTGTTCCATTTTGGAGGTGCCTTTCTCTGAAGAGGAAGTTTTGTCTGCTTTGAAAAGCTGTAACGGGGATAAAGCCCCAGGTCTTGATGGGCTTTCAATGCGTTTCCTTTTGGAGTGCTGGGAGGTGGTCAAAGAGGATGTGATGGGTTCTTTTAACGCTTTCCATGCTCATGGCTCTTTTGAGAAGAGTTTGAATGCCACTTTCATTGCCCTCATTCCGAAAAAGGGAGGAGCGTTTGATGTTAAGGATTTTCGTCCTATTTGCTTGGTGGGATGTTTTTACAAGTTAATTGCCAAAGCTTTGGCCTCGATGTTGAGGAAGGTTCTGGATGGCGTCATCTCGGACTCTCAGAATGCTTTTGTGGGAGGTCGTCAGATTTTGGATTTAGTTTTTATTGCCAGTGAATGTGTGGACTCCAAGTTGAGCAGTGGGGTTCCGGGTGTTTTATGCAAGCTGGACATTGAGAAGGCGTACGACCATGTGAGTTGGAGCTTTCTCATTTACTTGATGGAGAGGATGGGGTCTGGAGCCGGTGGAGGAGATGGATTCTTTTTTGTATCTCTAGTGCTCGCTTCTCTATCCTTGTGAACGGAGCTCCGACGGGATTTTTCTCTAGTTTGAAGGGTTTGAGACAGGGGGATTCGCTTTCCCCTTTCCTTTTCCTTTTTGTGATGGAGGCTCTCGGCAGATTGCTGAAAAAGGCTGTTGAGCTTGGCTTTCTGAGAGGTTTTCGGGTGGGCAGAGATGTTGCTAGTCAATTGGTGATCTCTCACTTGATGTTTGCAGATGATAACTTAGTTCTTTGTGATACTGATGCGTCTCGGCTGAGACATTTGAGATGCGTTTTAGTTTGGTTCCAAGTTGTCTCTGGGCTTAAGGTGAATGTCGGAAAGAGTGTTTTAGTGCCGGTTGGGGATGTTTCTGATATAGAGATGTTTGCTCAGATTCTTGGATGTCGCACCGGTTCTTTCCCCATCTCTTACTTAGGTTTACCTCTGGGAGCCTCTTCGAGATGTGTGGGGACCTGGAATCCGGTGGTGGATAGATTTGAGAAGAGATTAGCGAGTTGGAAGAAACAGTACCTCTCCAAGGGGGGACGGGTCACTCTGATTTAGAGCACCCTTTTTTGCCTCCCAACTTATTTCATATCTCTTTCAGATTCCTTCGTCTGTGGCTGAGAGAATTGAGAGTTTGCAGCGTAATTTTTTTTTTTTTTTTTTTTGGGGGGGGGGGGTGGTGGAGTTCAAGTATCATCTGGTTCGCTGGGAGCAAGTGTGTTGTCCTTTACGGAATGGAGGTCTAGGGATTAGAAGGTTGTTGCCTTTCAATAGGGCCCTTCTTGGGAAATGGCTTTAGAGATTTGGGGTGGAGAGGCATTGGCTCTGGAGGAGAGTTATTGCTAACAAATTTGGGGAGAGCAGTGGAGGGTGGAGTTCCCTTGAGGTGCGTGGTCCTAGGGGGGTGGGGGTTTGGACTTGCATCCGAAAGGGGTGGGACGCCTTTAGCAAACATGTTCGTTTTCGGATCAGAGATGGTAAGAGGATTAGATTTTGGGAGGACCTTTGGTGTGGGGAGCTTCCCCTAGCTCTTTCTTTCCCACGGTTCTATAGGATTGCTTCTTATAGGCAGGCCCTGATGGTTGACTGTTATCATCTTGATAACGGGAGACTAATTTGGGATGTTCTGTTTAAGAGGCATTTTCAAGATTGGGAGATTGAGGAGGTCACTCGTTTTTTGGAGTTATTGTATCGCCAGGTGATTTCTCATGGGGATTCTGATTGTTGGCTTTGGAGTTCTAATTCTCAGGGCAGGTTCGAGGTGAGGTCCTTTTTTAGGTGCCTTTCTGTTGGTAATGGAGTTCCTTTTCCGTGGAAGTCTATTTGGCATTCCAAGGCTCCCCGTAAGGTGGCTTTCTTTGCTTGGACCTCTGTCTTGGGTAGGATTTTAATCCAGGATAATTTAAGGAGGAGGAATCAGGTGGTTGTCAATCGTTGTTTCTTGTGCCTGCGCGATGAGGAGACTGTTGATCACCTTTTATTGCATTGTAGCATGGCTAGAGACTGTTGGGATTTGATGATTGGTTTATTTGGGGTCCCTTGGGTTATGCCATCTTCTTCTCGAGGGTTGATTGAGGTTTGGAGAGGTGTCTCAGTGGGGGCTCTAATTCAGGATGCATGGAGGGCTACGCCTCTTTGTATTTGGTGGTGCATTTGGCTCGAGAGGAATCGGAGATACTTCGAGGGAAAGGAGAAGCCTATGTCTGTGCTCAAGTTCTCCATTATTTCCACTCTCTTTTTTTGGGTTTCAGGGAGAGATTATTGTTCTATTGATCAGATTGTTATTTTTTTGGCCTCTTTGAAGGTTTGAGGCTTTTTATGGCCTTTTGTTTCTTTGGGATTCGCTCCCCTTTTGAGCGCTTTTTAATAACATTTTATTTATCAAAAAAAGAGTTTTTTTTTTTTTTTTTTTTTGAATATCTTGAAATCCATTCGTCAGTCACAAACTAGGAAATTCTTACCCTGGTTGAAGAAATTTCTATTCCAAATTAGTGGACAAATGTTTTTATCCACCAAAATGGATATGAATTATGATCTAAGTCACATAGAACGGGGCCAGGAGTGTGAAACAGGAATGGGAACGGGAATGCATGGAGAGCGGGAGCGCGTAAGAGTAGCACCCGTTGAGAAGAATTGTGTGACTTAGATTCTAATGTGTGTGCAAAATGTATAGAGCCAATGGTCTTAGATAACTATGTGAGAAACGGTTGAAGGCCTTCTAAAACTTGTTGCAAAATGGCAAGAAAGTTGGTTGGTAACCACCTTGCAAATGAGGGCCGCACCATTCAAGATGGAGTACAATTCTTGACAACCCCCCAAATGGGGTTAGCCATATCCTTGAAGCGGACATTTTCCAGGTTTATTGTTTGTGTTTGCTCTTCCCCTTCTACCCAGAAAAAATATAAAACAGGATTGTGTCAATCTGTGTTCCCTTTTAGAACAGTGCATACCTAAATGTTCTGGACCTGCTATTGTGGGATTGTATAATCCTGCAAGCAAACGCTACTTGAAGTATCAGGATAACTCGATGCACTATGAGATTGTTCAAGTTGGTGTCTCTAGCCTTGCAAGTGAAATCTTTATTACAGCCAACCTTTTTAAGCACATTAGAAGAGTATGCATTATCTTATTTTCGTTATACCTCCAGTAGACAAACATCATGTTATTTAATTGGTTGAACTGAGTCACTCAGTACTTTAAACTCTGGATTGAAGAAGTTCTAAACCATAAAGGGTATTCTCTAGTTGAAAATCACGTGCTGCTCCTCCGCTGATTAGTTTGATTGAGGACTGTGATTCTATATTTTATTTCAGAATATTCCAATCATTGCAGATTTGTGAACAAGCAGCAGAAGCACACAAGTCCAAGGGAGCCATGCAGTCATCTAGAAGAAACAGAATGAATTCCCCCCACTCAGGCCAACTCAGTAAATCATCTGTTGATGCAATTTTGGCAAACAGCAGCTCCATCCCCTCATCTCAGGTATGGAGTTGCTTATTTCCTGACTCCTGTACTCTATGTTTCCGCACTGTTAGATTTCAGATCTATTCCGGTGTGTATCCTAGACTGTCATTAATTTTTATACTGCTGTAGTCTTGAATGATATATTTATGCTATACCTTTTTACGTCTAATAGCTATACAAGTGGTGGAGTGCTGGTCCGGAAACAGCCTACTGGTTTACAAAGCGTACATGCCATTGCATCAAATCATGATACCATAAAAAACTGAATATGACTGTATGGTGTGAACTATCCTAATAAACATATTATAACTTTTAAAAAGAGCCCAAACGGTACCCAACTTTTTATTATGGAATTTAGTTCCTTACTTTTTTAAACGAGTAAATCTCTCTCTCCTAATTTTTTTTTTTCTTTCTTGGGATTCCATATGTCACACAAAATCAATGAACCAATTGAAGTAATTGAACAATGAAAGCATATCCTCTCTTCGTCTCTCTCTCCCTTCTCTCCTTCGCTTTTAGCTATCTTAAAACTCGTTGCTTTCCATATGCGGATTTATTCTCTAAAATATTTTAAGTCCCGACTGGTTCATGGTCTTTATGGGATTTAATTAGGCGTTTCAAGAACTTAAGAATGGTGTTTGAAATTATTCTTGTTGGGGCACGATTAATTCATAATGTTGCAAGGATATAGGATGTCATTATATTCTAACCATCATGTTCATTCACCTGTGATTTATTTCACACAGCGTTCTTCCTGTATGTCTAAAGACGATGTAATAATATTGATGATTATGATGTTGTGATAGAACTGATGGATTTGACCTTGTGCAAAGCTTCTTTGATTGCTTTCATCCTAATCTGATACTGTGGATTTATACAGACTAGTGAAGCGTCCTCCAAAATCTTCCTCGTTAACTGCTTGTGTGCAATCCAACAACCATTGCTAGGACATGAGATTGCATCTGGATATGTGAAGAAGCTTGGAGCAATGATAGATAATCACATGCATGATCTCGTGGAAAAAGAAGTTGACGCTATTCTAAGAAGATGTGGTTTCTCTAACAAGATGCCTCACTTCCATAATTCACAAAACAATGGGGAAGCCCCATTGGCAGAAATAGAGGACACATCCCCATCCTCTATTTCAGAGTGTTTGAAGGCTTTCTTTGGGCTTATTTTGGGAAGCGAAAGTTCCCTGCCTGAATTTGAGCAGATGCAGGTTCCGAAGCTGCGCTCTGAAGCTTATGTCCACGTGGCTAGATTGCTGGTTGAATCTTACGAACTTGTTTACAATGCAATCATGGATCCCAAGAACCAATACCCAGATCCCAGGTCACTGGCAAGGCATCCTCCTGATCAGATAAGGACAATTTTAGGAATATGAATATATACAAATGTTAAATAATGGTTCTTGTCAGAGTGAAATGCTGCTGTTCTTGTATGGTCTTTGACATTTTTTTTTTCTTTCTATATATTTTAATTTTTTCTTTTCTTGTAAAATTTTTAGGAACAGGTTTTGTATTGCAATTATTCTTGTGATTGATGGGCTCAAGTCTGCTACAGAGTAAATACTTGGTTAATAAATATTCAACATGATCATGGAAAAAAAAAAAAAATCATCATGATCATAAATATATAGGCTTTGGAATAATTCCACAAAAGCTTATCTGAAATGCATTTCACCTTTTAGGTTTTGGCATCTTTTCTTGTTTCTTCATCATGTCATTTGTTCATTTTTCATCAACCCAGCCAACTGGCATTCAGATCCTGTGTCCACGCAGTGGTGAATAGAAACATTACATGGCCTCAAAGCAACATAGAGTTTTTACTCAAGGAGATGGAGGCTAAACGTGGGGACTTGAATGGGATTAATCCAAAATTTAATTACTTAAGGTAACCCTCTCAAAATATTTTGGATTTGCAAGTATAGAAGTTAACAAAAATTTATGATTACAGTGTTAAATTTTTTCGTAATATATGAGTGTTTTTTTTTCCTTAGAAAATCTATCTTAAATTTGTTTGAATTCTAAAATTAAAAAAAAAAAAAGAAAAAAAAAAATTTGTTTGAGAGTGGGTCATTTTTGGGGAGTAATTTTAGTAATGTTTTGGGAGCACTTTGGATATAAAATTGGATATAAAATTGAAAGAAATTTAGTTAAAAATTTGTACTAAATTCATTTCAATTCTAAATTCAAAGCATCAATTGTGTGTGTTCAAACACAAACATAATTAAAATAATTCTAAGTGAATTGAATGTTCTTTGTGCATTTCAAACCTAATTTGAATTCAACTTTTTTAGCTCCGTGTTGGACTAGGCATGAGTAGTTCAGATTGTAGGGGAGGTTTGGATAAAATTTGCTAAACCTCATACCTCAACCTAACCTAACCTAACCTAACCTAACATCGGCTAAAATTGTCTAAAAATAATAATGCGCTGGTATTGGCCCTGGTTCCACGCTGGCTCCGACACTGTCGGCAGAAAGTGACTTTTGCATAGAAAGTCAAAACTTGATTCATTGCTTCTATTCCTATACGCGAAACACATTCTTACTGTACTTTTTGTCTTTGTTTTTGTTTTTGCATATGATGGTTTCGTAGATTCTGACTAAATATATTATGACGGTGGAGAAAGTACTTAAGTAAGCTTTTTCTGGTTAACAAGTTTCAATGCAGATGTTATTCTTGTTTTTATTATGTTGATTTACTTGACCTTTTAAACAGATCAGTCATTAGCAAAGGCTCACTTAATGTACTAATTAATTCCTTTCCTCAAGACACGAAAATAAAGCTGTGCAACAGAATTTACACTAGAAGAATAATTTCTTGAATGAAAAATTTATTTGATTTTTTTTAAAAATTAGTCTATTAGAATAAGGGAAATTTAAAGGGCATTTTGGATCTGATCTATATGTAATTATTTAATTTTATTCTATTAAAGTAAAAAATAAACTTTTAAAATAAATTACTTTGTTATTTAGGTAAATATAATTTATTCAAAAAATTTCCTCAACTTCCAAATTGATTTTTCAGGGAAAATAAAAAGAAACATGTATTCCAGCAAAACAAATAGTATGACGTTCAAAATCAAAATTAATTGTTATTACATTAATCATAAATTGAGTCAACTGTTAACCATTGTTATCTGTCAAAATTTGAGAAAATAGAATTTGATTGTTTCTCTGACAATTAAAATTGGGCAAACTGACCTCCCCTGAGGTTTGGCCTAATTGCAACTAAACCTGAAGTTTGCCATTTGTTTGCAAAGACCCCCTATGTCAGAATTTGCTATGAATTTACTTATTTACCCTCATTATTATATTATTAAAAATATTAAAAATATCTAAAAATATGAAATGACTATTTTACCCCAACCCAATCGCCGCCGCCACCACCACTCAACCTTCTACCACAATCTCTCTCCACCAGACCTATTTTCACGTTTCAATCCCAACTACGACACAAGATATATATAGCTACATATATACACAAATACCTATATATATGTATATATATGGAAATTTATATCTCAAAGTGGGTTCATGTGGAGACTTGAGCATCTTGGTGTCGGTGGCAGAGATGAGGACGGCATTGGTGGAGGAAGATCCACAATCGGCAATCTCAGATCGGCGTATAACTACAGCTCAAATCGTTCTTCCGACACAGACCCATCTGATCCGGTCCAAGTAAACCCCGTACCTTAGGACCATCTTCTTCCAAGGTCAAGATCATCGCCGGAGCTTCGGTTTTCTTCTTCATGTGACCGTCGAATAAGTGGGGAGGAGGCCACCATTTATCTGCTGCCTACCCCACTCCCCAATCGTCACACCTCTCAACCTCCTACCACTGCCACTGACAATCACTTGATAAAATCAAATATTGATATCGTGATTTAAAGAAATTAACTCCTTTCCAAGGAGTGATATAATCTCTGGATTGTCTTCTCCTCTAACATGATCGTTTCTGGTTTCAGCCTTTCACGTTGAAGATGAAAATTAGAATCTTTTTTTGGTTTGTTTCTTTTCTCCAATTAGGGCTTTTGTAAAACCCATCGTTGAAATATTAAAATGCCCTTTTGAATTGGGGTTGAAATTGTTTTCAGTGTCTTTTTATATATGTGTTTTGAGATTGTGTGTCTTACAGATGGGGTCGATTGCCCTACTGTTGCTTGTTTATCAATTGCTTTTCAATATATATATATGAACCCCAACAACACCAATAGCAAGTTAAAAAAAAAAAAAAAGACACCCCAACAACACCAATAGCAAGTTAAAAAAAAAAAAACAGACCTAATTTGGGAAATGAGACGAATTAGAAAAAATAGATGGTTGTTATCAATTTATTATTAATTTGTTTTAAAAAAATAAATGTTGTTTTAATTAAATATAATTAATAGTCTCTTAAATATATTTTGATTAAACTTTAATTATTGTAATTACATTTTAATAAAATTATTTGCATATAATATATATGTTTATATATAATGTATGTGTATATGTATATGAATGATAAAAGTATATGTATATGAATGATAAAAGACGTATCTGGATTTGCATTTGAAGTTTAATTTCATGCTTTGGTCTCATTTATATATAAAGGGTAATTTGGTCCATTAATGCATGATTTTTTTGGTTTTTTCATGACACTGTAAGGGTAATGAGGTCTTTTAACTTGGTTGATAGGCATTTTAGTCGCTTAAACCAAAATTTCTGACAAAAAGTATAATTTTTTGTACGGAGGGGATGTCTTTGCAAAAATGGGCAAACCTCAGGGTTCACAGTGCAAAAAAATGACAAACTTCAAGTTTAGTTACAATTAGACCAAACTTTAGGGGAGGTCATTGTAATTTGCCTTTAATAATTAGAAAGAAAAGAAAAGATTTATATTCTCAATTTTTTTTTTTTAAGAAAAAATAGTTGTAAAGTTTGTTTTTAAAAATTCATTCTTAATTTTTTTTTTTATTATTCTCATTGGGAGTTTTTTAAAGTTTGGGTAAAATACCACTACACCCCTGGAGGTTTGGCAAAAGGATATTCAGAGGAAACTTACGTATTTTTTGAACAAAGACACCCCCTAAAGGTTCAAAAAGGGACAAATACACTCCTTTACATGAGAAATTGACCAAATTACCCTTTGACCTTTTAAGAAACTTTTTTAACTTTACTATTTAATAAATTGGATCAATCTACCCTCATGAAAAATTTATGCATAAAAAAAAGTAAAAAAAAAAAAAAAAAAACTTTATTTTGTTCACTTTATTTTTATTTTATTTACTTTATAAATGTCCTAACTTTTCAAAAATGTAGACGTCTAAAATGATTTTTTGATTCAATACATATATTTCAAATAAATTATATTTTGTTATTATTTCTTTTTTTTTTTTTAAATTAAAATGCTTAATTCTTTCATCTAAAAAAATTAAACCAATCTCTTTTCGTTAAAAAAAAATAAATATGGTACCAGTATAACTTTATGCATCATAAATTATATATCAAATATTATGCATTTTCCAACATAAAAGGGGGGAAAAAAAATAAAGGGAAAAAATAATAATAATAAAACAAAGGGAAAAAAAAAAAACAAACAAACAAAGGCATGCATAAAGTTATATTGGTACCTAATTTTTTTTTTATGTTGGGAAATGCATAATATTTGATATATAATTTAAGATGCATAAAGTTATACTCGTACTATATATATTTTTTTTTAAGGAAAAGAGATTGGTTTAATTTTTTTTAGATGAAAGAATTAAGCATCTTAATTTAAAAATAAAAAAGAAAAAGAAAAAAAGTAATACCAAAATATAATTTATTTGAAATATATGTATTGGATCAAAAAATTATTTTAGACGTCTACATTCTTAAGAAATTGGGACACTTATAAAGTAAATAACAACAAAAAAAAAAAAAAAAAAAAAAAATTGAACAATATAAAGTTTTTTTTTTATATATATATTTTTATGCATAAATTATTCATGAGGGTATATTAGTCCAATTTATTAAATTGTAAAGTTAAAAAGTCCCCTAAATAGTTAAAGGGTAATTTGTTCAATTTTTGATGTAAATGAATGACTTTGTCTATTTTTGAATCTTTAAGGTGTCTTTGTCTAAAAAATACAAGTAAATTTTCTTTGGGGGTTCTTTTTCCAAACCTGTGGTGTCTGGTTGTACTTTAACCTTGAAGTTTTGAAGAAAGCTATGCCAAATAATTGGAGGGTTGTGTTAGTTTAAAATTATGAAAACTGTTCCAAGTTACTTTTTTCTCCCTCTATTTTATAGATATAAATATAGATATATGTATATATATGTATAACCACCAGCAGCTGAGATGGCAGCAGCAGCGGTTGCTGGAGGAGAAGTATGGAAAGCACACGCGGCCATGGCGATAAGCCAGCTTTTCTTTGGAGGGTACCATGTGGTCACCAAAGTCGCTCTCGACGTTGGAGTCAACCAGATCGTCTTCTGCGTTTTTCGCAACCTTATCGCCCTCTCAATTCTTGCACCTATTGCCTATATCCGAGAAAAGTCAGTTCGACTTTCTCTCTCTCTCAAATATGTACTTGCTTTTTATTTTTGGTAGCAAATAAACTGATCAATTTCTCTCTTTATTAGTTTTTCTTGAAATATTCTTAGATTTTGGATTTAATGGCCTCAGAAAGAACGATTTTCAATTCTTTTAATTAATTTGATCTAATATTGTAATCTGAACAAATTCTTTGAAATCTCTCTGATTATATCAATGATCTCTGTTTGAATTTCACAGTTTCATGTTCCGACAACTTTTCAATTTCAGGCTTAATTCATATTTCTGTGTTGCTGCTTGAAAAGTAAAATTGCTATCTTCTTGGTCTTCTTATGAACAAATTATTGATTTTTGTGATTTTGTCTTGCTTTAACTAGCTGTTGATGAAGCCAAGAGTAGTTACAATCTTTACATTATTGAATTTAAAAATTACTAGTGCTAAAAAAAAAAAAAGAATTTAAATATTAATCAGTTTAATTGTTCTATATGTTTCCTTGTTTCCTTGTTACTCGGTAGCCTGGTTTTTGCTATTATTGACATTGTTCAACACCAACATTTGTTGACCTACCAGTAGTGCAGTTTAGAATTTGCCGGTAACATATAAAAAAGCATTTTCATCTGAATCTTTAGTTGTAAAAATGGATCCCAACAACTTCTTCATACTTAATAGAATTTGCTTAAAAAAAATTAAGCTTTATGTTTGCAGAAGGGTTAGACTACCAATTACTAGGGGCCTGCTCATGTCATTCTTTTTTCTTGGACTGACTGGGTAAGTTTAGAAGCTCCAAAACCTTTTGTTGAGCTTGTTATTTGAAGTATTTTTGTGTGTGTAATGGCTCCAGTTGTGGTGGCATCCTACTGATCAATCTATATTGCTTTTTCCCTCTCATTTCATCTAATTGAAATAAGGATATTTGGGAATCAGCTTCTGTTTCTTATTGGTCTTGGGTACACAAATCCAGCTTATGCCGCAGCCGTACAACCTGCAATCCCGGTCTTCACATTTATATTGGCTGTTATGATGGGGTCAGTTTGATTATTTCTTGCCCTTATCTATATTTTTTTATGCGGCTTTCCTCTGTGTGTGTGTGCACACGCGAGCGCGCACATGGATATGCACATCTCTATATACATGTACATTAATGTCATACATTTTGTTGTTGCCGGTAAAACATTATATGCAAAAAATGTTCATGCAGTGCAGAAACAGTGAATTTGCTCAGGACTGAAGGTAAGGCAAAGGTTGGAGGTACACTCCTATGTGTTTCTGGTGCCATATTAATGGTTCTGTTTAGGGGCCCATCCTTGTTTGGATATAAGGAACCAGAATTTACAGCACAAACTGAAATAAGTATCAGGGGTCAACCAGAGCCTGCTGGATGGTTGATTTCTAATTTGCTGGAGTTTGGGCTTGAACGCTGGCACCTTGGTATCTTATGTCTGATAGGGAATTGTATGTCCATGGCGGCTTATCTAGCTATTCAGGTATTTAAATATTTATCTCATTTTTTCGGGTATTGATGGAACATTCTGTTGATAAACAGAGGAAACCATATACAAAAGTAAGCATAGTAAAGAAGATTTGCTGTACTCTGAAAATGCTCTGGTGGATCTTGATTTATGGTCAACCAAACTATCACTGGAACGACTATTGCATCTAGTGGAATTTATTGAGCCTCTTCACTCTTTTTTTTATGATTACTCCATCTTCCAAATAACCAATTTCAAAATGTAGTTAATTCTTGATGGCTTGTCAATGATTTTAAAAACTTCTCTAGGCAACTTAGGTGGCTAGGAAAGTGCATTTGCTTATTAAATTGTCTATGCAGCACCCAGGTGAGTTCCAACTAGATGTCCTAGGTTAGTGGAGCTTACTATGTAAATTTTTCTGGTAGAATTATAGGAATAAGTATCAACTGTGCAGCCTATTCACAAATATTTTACATTATTCCGAGCTTTCGTTAAGAACCCTGAAGGATATTTGAGTTCCCACTGCCGATCATTTAACAGTGGAGTTTTTCTTATATCTAATTTTGATATGTGACTTTAGATTTTATCGAATGCTTTATTTTTGAGATGGTGTTTGACCTGTAACTGTAAAATAATCAGGCTTCAGTTCTAGTGATATTTCCATCCAGCCTATCAGTGACAGCATTTTCATATTTCTTTGGTTCACTACTTATGGTAGTGACAGCATTATTTAAGACCAACGAATCAACAAACTGGAATTTGACCCGGTCAGAGTTTTTTGCAGTGTTCTATGCTGTAAGTATCTTTTCTTTCCTTCTTGCCATTTTATTTTTGGGGAGAAGGGATTCATGCAGTGAGTTTGTGTTCATTCTTTTATTTACTGTCAGTGAAAAGTTCTTCTAAATCATTTTGATTCCATTTTCCCTAGTAAATATTATAATTTTTTTCTGAATTTTGTTAAGTGTTGTAGCTTGGTTTTCTAGTGTTTCTCCCTGTTTTAACATTTAAAAGAATTGGGATGGTGCTATTGCCGGTTTTGGGAGACCTCCTCAGTCAAGTGAGATGATAGTTGATGGGTACATGTGATATGGAGCTGTACATGCTACACTCTGAAATTGTGTTTTTGGTTCTACCTTACTTGATTTTGCCTGTAGACAATTCATTTCCCTATCTAGATGCATGTATTTCGGATTACATAAATTGCTGCTTCTGCGGCACTCCCAGGACTCTCTACCCGGCGTCTACGCTTGATGAAGTTGTAAATCAAGAATGGTCCTATTAGTAGAGGATTCCCTTGCCATAGCTTTTCAGTTACTGGTTGACGCATAATGTTCACCTGCAACTTTATATTTAAATATATGCCTAGAATCTAGATGCATGTATCCCTCTGTATCATATGATTTTCCATGCATTTTTTATTGTTAACGGAATGCATTACGACCTTTCATGGCCCCTCCCCCCCACCCCAAAACTGAAATAAGAATTCTTTTGTTTTCAGGGAATCATTGTATCTGCACTTAACTATGGACTTGCGACATGGTCCACCAAGATCCTAGGGCCTGCTTTGGTCGCTCTTTACTTTCCACTTCAACCTGCAGCATCTGCCTTCCTGTCAAAGATTTTCCTTGGAAGTCCTATTTACTTAGGAAGGTTTTACTCTAAACACCCTTGACTGCATGTACACATACTTGGGCTGTTTTCTAGTTTACTGCCTATAAGAAGATCATAATTAATTTATGTAATCACTGTCTGTTACCTTGATAAAATATCTTGTCATCTTTGAAGGGGTGGTGTAGGGACCAAGGGCCTTGTGGCCTATTGGTATATCCTCTACCACCCAAAGTAGATGGTGATGGTTCAAGTCTCTAAAGGGGCAAAGTTGGAGTGTGTGCTTTTCGGCAATGAAAGAAAAAAGGGTGGTGTAGGGTTCAAATCCTGGTTTAGACACGGATCCATGTGTTGGTCAAGAAGGGTCTTTACTCAATGTGGTCAATATTAATTGATGGTGCTGGGAGGAGTGGATTGAACAGATTGGACCTTTGGCGTTTATTGCACCAAGTGTATTTTTGATACTAGAACCCAAATTCTCGTGCAGAAAGTGGTGGTATTTGTGTTTGCACGTTATTTATCAAAGTAAAAGAGAAGAAAGATGACAGTTTATGCAAACATGCCATAATTTGATAAGAAAATACTTTCTGCGTCCATGATGTATAAGACAACATCTCTTTTGAAATTTGAACTTGTATCAGAAACTAATCTTAAGTTCTTCAATTGGTTAAGTGTCTTTGTGTACTAACTCATAGTCTAATTTTCACCTGGAAACAGCATTTTAGGGGGATCTTTAATTATTGGCGGGCTTTATTTGGTCAATTGGGCATCCTATAGAGAAAGACAGGTAGCTATCGGAATTATCCCTCGCATTTCTGTGGTCTCCGAACCGCTCATTCACGGGGATTCATCTCTCAACAAGATTCCATACCTGAGATGACACATTTTCTTGGGGCAGCGGCCCCCCACCCCCCACCCCAAACGTCACCTAAAGTAAATGGTTGAAGCAATCATACCGTGGATGTCACGGTATCCTCATAATAATGTGTTTGATAGTATTGTGTTTTATGTCAAGGTATTCATATTTTCAATCTCTTTTTGAGTTGATGTACGGAGAAACATTCAATCATGTATAGTGTTTAAAGCTATGTTCTCTTGCAATCAATTTATCTCTAGCTTTGTTGCAGACACTTGACATTAGCAGGAGCAAGCCGTTTTGTCTACTATCCGTTTCCACGAGATCTTCTCGAATTCAATTGGAAGTCTATGAACTTATATTTCTGGATTTTAGTGCATGGACCGTGGTTTATACCATTTCTCAAACCCCTCTGTGATCACGATCTCCAGTTGATATCTTTTGTACTAGTCTCAGATCAACTACAATCTCATTCTCCAAAACGACCTCTAATTTGAGCAATACCACCAGGAGTGTGGAGGAAAAACATTTTTATATTAACAAATTTGTTTTGACTTTTTCTTTTTTAAATAATTGCTTTTGTGTAAGCGTAGAATCAGTCCTGTGACGCTTTGCAGAAAGTGACTGTTGCACAAATCATTTTGTCATTGATTTTTCAGAAAAAAAATGTATTCCACCAGAATAAATATTCCGTTAAAAATGTTCAAAATCATAATTAATTCTTGTTATGTTAGTCATAAATTGAGTCAACTGTTTAACCATTTTTACGTATTTCTCTTAAAATTAATTGGCAAGAAAAGAGAAAATATCTTATCTTCTCAAAACAAAAAAAAAACAAAAAAAAAATTCTTATTTGGAGTTTTTGAAAGTTCAGAACCCAATCAAGTATACCCATAACTATCCATAAGAGTGAGATAAACCAAAGAATTTTCAAAAGAATCATAAATTGTGGCAAGAAAGTAAGAGAGGCTCAGATTTTTCGGAAGGCTTGTATGCACATGGAAAGCTGAGACCACGTCAGAAAAAGCTCAAATATATGAAACCTTGAATCTCCAAATTCAGAAACAAATTCTTCATTTGCACGATTACATCATTCTTTACCCTCTACCTTCCAAAAAACAATATCTTTATATTCTACTATAGATATATATATATATATATATATAGAGAGAGAGAGAGAGAGAGAGAGAGGAGATAAAGAGCGTGGGGGTGAATAACCACCAGACCCAGATGATCGAGATGGCAACAACAGCAGGTTTTAGTGGAAGAGAAGTATGGAAAGCACACGCAGCAATGGCGATGGTGCAGGTTTTCAATGGAGGGTACCATGTCATCACCAAAGTGGCTCTCAACGTTGGAGTCAACGAGCTCGTCTTCTGCGTCTATCGCGACCTTATCGCCCTCTCCATTCTTGCTCCTATTGCCTATGTTCGTGAAAAGTCAGTTGCTCTATCTCTCTCCCTCTGTAGATATATTGAATATATATGCTTGCTTTTTGCTTTGTAGCTGACAAATCGATCAATTTCTCTCTTTTGTGTTTCTTGAAATGCTCTTAGATTTTGGATTTAATGGCTTTAGAAAGAGCGATTTTCAATTCTGTTCATTTGATCTCATATTGTAATCTTAACAAATTCTTTGAAATTTTCCTGAATTTGGGAAATGCTATTACTGGTCTCTGTTTGAATTTCACAGGTTCGTACAAATTTTCAATTTCAAGGCTTAGTTCCTATTTCCGTGTTGGTCCTTGAATTGTAAAATTCCTAGCTTCGTGGTCATGTTCTGAACAATAATTGATTGTTGATAAAATTTTTGTTTTGTTTGATTTACGTACGTGTGGAAACTAACTACTTGATGCTAAAGCCAAGAGTAACAAACTTTACATTAGTGAATTTAAAATTTCAGGGGAATTTCTTCTTCTGGTGTTATCCTAGGAACTTGTTTTATTGTGTTATATGTCTCCTTAGCTCTAAAAATTACATAGTTTTGTTGTTACTGTACATAGTTTTGTTGTTATTGACATTGTTGCAATGGTGTAGTTACTAAAACCAACACTTGTTAATCTTATCAGTAATGCAGTTTAGAAATAAAAGAGCATTCTCATCTACATATTTGGCTGTAAAAATGGACCTAACAACTTCTTCTTTCTTTTAATATTTGCTTTAGAAAATTATGCTTTATGTGTGAATGTCTGAAGTACAACATTGTGAAACATTTGTTATTTACTATTTGCAGAAGGGTTAGACTACCAATTACAAGGCGCCTCCTCTCGTCGTTCTTTTTTCTTGGATTGACTGGGTAAGTTTAGAAACTCCAAAACCTTTTGTTGAGCTTGTTTTTTTGCATTATCTTTTTGTGTAATGGCTCCAGTTGTTGTGTCATCCTACTGATCAATCTATATGGTTCTTTCCCTCTCATCTATTCTAATTGGAATAGGATATTTGGGAATCAGCTTCTGTTTCTTATTGGTCTTGGCTACACAAATCCAACTTATGCCGCAGCTATACAACCTGCAATTCCAGTCTTCACTTTTATATTGGCTGTAATGATGGGGTCAGTTTGATTATTTCTTGCCTTTATCTAATTTTTTTGATGATGTTTTCCTTTGTGTGTGGGTAAGCACATCTATATATATTTGTATATTAATGTCATACACTTTATTGTTGCCGGTAAAACATCATATGCAAAAATTATTCATGCAGTACAGAAACAGTGAATCTGCTCAGGACTGACGGTCAGGCAAAGGTTGGAGGTACACTCGTATGTGTTTCAGGCGCCATATTAATGGTTCTGTTTAGGGGCCCATCCTTGTTTGGATATAAGGAACCAAAATTTGCAGCACAAAGTGAAATAAGTATCAGGGGTCAACCAGAGCCTGCTGGATGGTTGATTTCTAATTTCCTGGAGTTTGGGCTTGACCGCTGGCACGTTGGTGTCTTATGTCTGATAGGGAATTGTATGTGCATGGCGGCTTATCTAGCTATTCAGGTATTTAAATATTTATCTCATTTGTTCGGATATTAATGGGAATATTCTATTGATAAACATTAAAAATAAATAAAATAAAAAGTAGGTATAGATAAGAAGATTCCCTGTGCTCTGAACATACTCTTGGATGATCTTGATTTATGGTCAATCAAATTATCACTGGAATGACTGGTGCATCTAGTGGAACTCAATGAGCCTCTTCACTTTTTTGATGATTATTCCACCTTCCCAATAAATTTTTTCAAGGTGTAGTTAATCTTCATGGTTTATCCATGATTTTAAAAACAATCTCAATGCAACTTAGGGTGGCTTGGAAGTGTCTTTGCCCATCGAATTGTCTATACAGCACCTAGGTGAGTTCCAACTAGATGTCCTAGGTTAATGGAGCTTACTATGTGAATTTTTCTGGTAGCATGATAGGAATAAGTATCGATTGCGCAGCCTATTCAAAATGCTTTATGTTAGTCTGATCTTTCATTAATAACCCTGCAAGATTTTTAAGTTCCCACCATTCATCATTTAACAGCTCCTGAGTAGCATTAATTGTGGTGGAAACTGGGAAGTGCAAATGATTGGAATACTTCTTGAAAATTTGACTTCTTTAATTTAGAATCTTTTTGGAGAGAGATGAAATTAGTCAAGATATTGACACATCCAAAAGTTTATTGACTCGGAGAGCTTCATTTTTTGCAAATGCTTGCAGGCTGGACTTTGATATTTTTATATTCATAGCTTCAAAATTTAAGTTTTACAATTTCTAAATGTTTCTCCCTTTGATTTGGGTTTTGGATTTCAAGTCTTGGTGTCATGGGTTATGAGTAGCAATAACCAGCCACTGTTTTATATTTTTTGGTAATTAATGTAAAAAATCTATTAACTTTGAAAAGATTTACTGGTATGGAGGGGGGCATACCCCCCTATACACATGAGAAAACCTAAGTATATAACCAAAAGGGGTGATATAGGCAGCCCAACAACAGAAACAAAAGCAAAACCATATGAACAAATAAGAGAGACTTACGATTTTTAAAGTTCTGTAGAGAACGTTGTAAAATAAGACTACAAAATACAGAAAAACCTTCATTGTAATTGAACATAGAGAGATTTATTGCTTCCGTATATATATTGACTACTGTCCAGAAATTGTTTCCATAGATACCTCTTCATCAATTTATCTAAATGAAAGCTGATGTAAATTACGGTTCTACCAATATTTTAGAACTCCTTTATAAAATATTCTACATGTTTCAAGAACTGATGAAAAAGTGTATCAACCAGGAAAAGTGGCATGATCTTTGTTGAGGGTTAGGACAGGGAAGGGAAGACAACCAACTTGAGTCACATGAAAGAGATGATAACATCTGGTACAGAAGTTAGATTAGGATGACAAAAACAGGCATATGCTGCCCCCAAACTGTTGGATTTGAAGAAGTTTTTATTTAGTTTAGTTGATAATGTTTTATGAACCAGCGGGTATTTTTGAAATAGAATTTCTGCTAATCGTTGTTACATATCTTCATCTTCAACTTATTTTTATGATGCAGTTCCAGTTAATTTTTGTTTATTTAAGAAATTGGATCTGTTCGGAGATGATTTGGTTCCGAAGGAAAAAGTTGCCAGCAGCCACCCTCGTAAACCTCTTTAAATAAAAAAATTTCTATCCATCATGTCCAACCCCCCCTCTCTAAAGTCTCTCTCTCTCTCTAAAGTCCCTCTAGAGTTATCCATGTAATATGTTTCTAAGATCTTCTTGCATCCAGAAGAACCCATTCGCTTAACTTGATTTGGATTAGATGCAGGACTAATCATTTTAGGATTGATTTTATGTGGTTTCTCCAGGAATATGACATCATCATCTTGATCAAGATATGGAGTCCTCTCCTTTATGGATTTTATACCCTCCATTAAATTTCTCAACTGTTTGAGTACGGAAGGATTGTGAACATGTTGTCAATACAGTAGAAAAGAAAGAAAAATGAATACATTTCTTACCGGTCTCAATTTGGTTTGAACTCTCACTGCTATTGTACACAAAAACCTTCATTGTGTAGCAGAATAATTATTTGAAGAGTGGTGTTATATGCATATAATGATAAGTGGCATTTTTTGTTACTCAAAAACACGTGTTTTCTAAATTCGAGGTCTAGTGCAGATGTGTTGGATGACTCCCTTCTTGCATGTAGGCAGCAAGAAATTTTATCATCTCTTATCTTTTTTTACTGAAAGCAAATCAATTATCATGTTGATCCCATTATCAGTTTGTGTGTTTCTTAACTAGATATGGAAGCTAGGAAGGCAGAATATGTCAAAAAAACTGTGTACCCCTTGATGATTAAAGCCTTCCAGATGAGCGGAACACTATTAACTGCTGTAGCAAGCAAAAAAGTTTGCAATGTAAGCATATGAGTTGTGTTATATATGATATATTTATTAATAGCGTTATTTGTATGTCTTTCAACGGCTTTTTCAAGAGTTCACTAACAGAAGTAAAGCCCAATTTAACGAATCATACCATGTTTGTTTTGGTATGTTGAATAGCTGAAAAGACAAATTTGCAATGAGGATATTGAAGTAAATGTGGATGCCAAAAGTATTGTCTTAACTGAATTGGTATATGATTTAGTTATGGAGTTAGGATATGTAGCTGTTCCTTATTCTTATCTTTGAGAGTCTTGAGACTACAAGGATCATCACATCAACATTATTGGTCCTCTCCTGGTTCATCTCAGTGTAGAGAAGGTTTCAGTTGAAAATTTAATACTTGTCTTCATCTATTAAATAAATGATTATTATATCTGAAAAAGAGAGTATTTTTAAATGAAAATTATTATTCAACCTTATAAAAAAGATTGAAAACCAAAAGAGCAAGCATCATCTCTCTTAAGAATTCAAATTAAAGAAGAGCTTTGCGTTTGTTGTGGTGGTGGGTTAACTGCTGAAATGTGCTCTGTTGGGGATATCATAGGAGTGATTTTAGCCTATGATAGAATATCGATTGGAGTGATTTATGGGATTGATTTTAGTAATCCTCCATCAATGTTTTTTCCATAGTTATCACTTGTATTCTTTCACCTATAAATAGAGGTGCTGATTGTAAATAATATTAAGAGAGAATATAATAAAAATGATGTAGCCCTTTGGGCTTTATGTGTCGTGGATGTAGGCCGTAGCGGCCGAACCACATTATATCCTTGTGCTCTTCATGTTTAATTTTTTTCTTCAATTGTTGGGTTTTTCTTTTTTATTTTTTATTTTATTTTTTTAACTTTAAGTCCCATAATTTAGTACAGGTTTTGACATTGGTCCATTTTTTTAAAAATGTTAGACATTGATCCTATTTTTATATTTTTTTGTTAGTCAACAAACGGTCCACTAAACAACATTGCAGTTAAAGAGTGTTTTTTATAAAATTCCAAAACTGCCCCTTTTCTTAAACTACCATAGTCACTTTCTTAGCCATCACCTCTAGATTTTCTCATTAAAAAAAAAAAAATTCGAAACCTTTGATCCACAAACAATCCTATTCAACAACACATGACGATGTCTTTATTTCTCCTTCTCAATCCATGATTCAGGTACATCTAGTTGCCCCTATTTTGTTTGGGCAAAATATAATAATAATAATAATGATGATGATGATGATGGGGAAGAAATTGATAGCACTGTGAAGATCTCCTCTGTTTGTAGCAAGGACGAGACTACTTGTTTGCATCTTCGTTTGGTCTTGTTTTGCTGAAGCAGCAAGAGACAGTTGATGATCAAAGAGAAGATGATGAGATTCGAGATCGAGACTTTAGTTTGCATATGGCATGATGAGATTTTGGTCTCTAGTTTGTGTTCATTGGTACGGAAGTTGTAACCAGGTAGGCGCACCTTCGCTGGATTTCATAGAAGAGCAGCAATGCATTTTGGGCACTTCGCTGAGCTTCCCTCTTGTGTATAAATAAATTTATTTTAAAAAAAATAAGAAGAAGAAGAAGAGAGAGGGTTAGGGTTTTGATCGGTTCTAATCATCAGGTAGTTTGGCTGGAAAAAAATTAGGGATAGTTTTGGAATTTTATCTAAAAAGGCTCTTAACATTAATATTGTTTATTAGCCTATTTGTTGACTAGCAGAAAATATCTAAAAAAGGGACTGATCTCTAATGTTTTTAAAAAAGGGATTGATGTCAAAACTTGTACAAAATTATGGGACTTAAGTCAAAAAAAGTCCTCAATCTTTCAACAGTGGTATCAGAGCAGGTTTACCATACCCTACTCTATACTCTCCTCATCTTGGATCTTCGGATCAACTCGTCTTGGATCTCTGGATCAACTCATCTTAGATCCTCGGATCAACTTGTCTCAAACTCTCTAAAAACTTTATATTAAGTTTCAAGTTGGACACTTGAGTTAAAATCTCCGTGTACCAAATTGGGTTTGGGGGGGGGGGGGGGGGGGGGGGGGGTGGTGTGGTGGTCTTGGGCTTTATGTGCTATGGATGTAGGCCGTAGTGGCCGAACCACGTTTTATATCCTTGTGTTCTTCATGTTTAGTATCTCTCTTCAAATTTTTATATCTTTCAACATGCTCCATATAAAGGTGAACTTTGAAATGGTTTAAACTAAGCAACACATGAAATGAAGTCTAAATTGTGTCTGAACTTTAAGGAACTCAAAAATTAAGAAGCAAAAGTGGTCACAGGCTTTGTGAAGTGGCCATAGGTACTTTTGTTGTCCGGTTCAAGTATGTCATGGCGTTAGATCTGGAACACACATTTTTTAGGATATGGGTATCCAACTAGAATTTTTAGTGTCCAATCTTTTTCATCTAGAACAAATGAAGTGTCTGTGTGAATGGAATTTCTAGTGGTGCTGCTCCAGCTTCTTGTGATTTATCCATGAGGCATTAACACGAGAAAAAATGATGAAGGTTATGAAGGATTATTCCTCTCTTTTCTTGGCCTGCATAAATGATGAGTACATCTCTGATAGCAAGCATGTTTGACAAACAAATAATGGCTACACAATCCAAGTGATCCAAGTGTTGTGTTTGAGATGAACACTTCTGCACATTTTTGTGTTAATTAGAAAGGAGCTTTAAATTTTACTATTATATATGAGATCTTGCTCCTTCTCTTTTCATGCTTTTGGATACAATCTGCTACTACTGGATATTCATGAGACACGAGGTAGAAAGCTTTTGTATATCTAATTATATGATTTTTATTTTTGTCCACGATGATGGTGTTGGTCCTCTTAAACACCCTATAGTCCACCACCGAACCCATGCAGTCCACCCATCCCACATGCACTAGGCAATTACCGAAAAATTCCTTGGAGTGGCCGAATTCCTTGCTATCAGACTATCCCCTGAGCTTGTAATTATATGAATGAAATCTGTAAATTTTGCTATGAAGTCTAATTCCTAATGCTATTTTCTACTTCTCACAATGTGTTTGGCATTAGTTTTGGGTTGTGAGTTCTCCAAATTCGGCTGATGATTTAGATGTACATCGTAATACAGCTGGCTCTAGTCTTTTTGGGAATGCTTTAGATGTCTGTTTGAGCAGTTTTTGCTTTTCCTGACTGGTATGAAAATCAGTAAAATGGTCATATGTCCATAGCTCCACTGATTTGGAAGGAATCTTTTTTTTTTTCCCACGAGCTATGGTTTTTCAGTTTTATCTACTAACATCATCCTCATTTTAAATTTTTTTGCTTTTGTATTCTCTAATATGCATTTCCTTCAATCCTAATCTTAATATTTTTTCCTGTGTGGCTCCAGGGGGATTCGAAATCTAAACCTCCAAGATTTGAGGTTCCTAACCTTAATATTCTTTTTGAAGGATAAGGGGCTTTAAACCCACAATATTGATTCATCACATATTCACCAAAATTTTGGATGCTGGTGTAGATTTGGTGTTAATACTGCTAGTAAATTTTATTAAGAAAAGTGTTTTTCAAAGTAACTAGGGGAATTCTATATGAATTTAAGTTATATCTAATATTGATACATGAGTTTAGATCATATCTAATGTTTTATGTTTGCTGTTGAGTTTGACGTGTTGCTGTAAAATAATCAGGCTAAAGTTCTAGTGAAATATCCATCCAGTCTATCAGTGACAGCATTTTCTTACTTCTTTGGTGCGCTACTTATGGTAGTGACAGCATTCTTTACGACCAACGAATCAACAAACTGGAATTTGACCCAGTCACAGTTTTTTGCTGTGTTCTACGCTGTAAGTATCTTTTCTTTCCTTCATTCCTATTTATTTCATGTTAATTTTTTTTTTGGGGAGGGGAATTGAGGATTCATGCAGTGAGTTTGTGTTCAATATTTTATTTACCGTCAGTCAAAAGCTCTGTATATCATTTTGATTCTATTTTCCTATCTAGATGCATGTATTTTGGATTACATAAATTGTTAAGTGATAGCTTTTCAGTTACTGCTTGACTCATAATGTTCGACTGCAACTTTATATTTAAATATATGCATGTAAGCGTGGTTGTGTGCCTAGAATCTAGATGCATGTATTCCTCTATTTGTTACTTTCAAACACACCCCCACCTCCCCCCTTCCCCTTCTCTCCCTCTCTCTTCCCAAAGAAGCAGCAAAAATGAAAACTGAAGGAAATATTTCTGTTTTCAGGGAATCATTGCATCTGCACTTAACTATGGCCTCCTGACATGGTCTAACAAGGTCCTAGGGCCTGCTTTGGTCGCTCTTTACAATCCACTTCAACCTGCTGCATCTGCCTTCCTGTCAAGAATTTTCCTTGGAAGTCCTATTTATTTAGCAAGGTTTTACTCTAAACACCCTTGATTGCATGTGCACACACTTGGCTGTTTTCTTGTTTACCACCTATAAGAAAATGATAATTGATTTATGTAACCACTGGCTGTTAGCTTGAGTAAAATATCTTCTGCCACTTTTGAAGGGGGGAGGTGCAGGGTTCAAATCCTGATTAGGACACAGGTTCATGTGTTGGTTAAAAAGAGTCATTACCTAATGTGGTCAATATTAATCGATGGTACTGGGAAGAGTGGATTGGAACATATTTGACTTTCGGCACCAATTGCATAAAGTGACTATCTTCAATATTAGAACACACATTCTCGTGCAGAAAATGGGGGTATTTATGTGTGCTTATTAGTTCTCAGAGAAAAAAGAGAGAAGATTATAGTTTATGTAAACATGGCATATAAAAGTATTTTTTGTCCATGATCTATCAGACTCTATCTCTTTGAAATTTGAACTCAATCAGAACCTTGAGTTCTTCAATAGATTAAGTGTCTTCTGGGCTAACTCTTAGTTTAATTTGCATCTGGAAACAGCATTTTAGGGGGATCTTTAATTATTGCCGGGCTTTATTTGGTCACATGGGCATCCTACAAGGAAAGACAGGCAGCTATCGGAATTATCCCTCAAGTTTCTCAGGTCTCTGAACCACTCATTCACAGGGACTCGTCTCTCAACAAGAATCCGTACCAGAGAGCACACATTGTCTCGGGGCAGTCCCCCTCATTACCTAAAGTTGTGGATTAAGCCAACATATGGTGGATGTCACAGTATCCTCATGATAGTGTGTTTTATAGTAAACTTTGTTAGAGTCAGCATTCACCTTTTCGATCTTTTTCAGAGTCGATGTAGAGAGGAATGTTTAATCGTGTATAGTAAAGCAATATTCTCTTGCGACCAGTTTATCTCCGGCTTTGTTGCAGACACTGACATTAGCAGCAGCAAAATGTTATGGCTGATATCCTTTTCCATGAGATCATCTTGAATTTACTTGTAAGTCAGATGAACTTATAGCTCCGGATTCTAGTGTATGGATGGACCAAAGTTTTATTTATTTATTTATTATTATTGCTATTAGTATTATTTGTGTATGTCTGTGGACTGTTATTTGTGTGTTTCGAGTGTTTGGATTGATAACTCGATTATCTCCAGTTACTCGCACCCCCTAGCTCTATGTTCACTGTCTCCAGTTGTCCCACAATATCTTTTTTACTAGTCTGATGTCAACTGTATCTCATTCTCCAAAACGAGATCTAATATTTTGATGTCGATGTATTGAGCAATACCACAAGGAAATAAGTGTTGGTTGTGATGACCAAGTCTTATTTTTATTTTTTTTCCTTTTTTATTTATTTTTAATTGCATTTTGTTATGTTGTGGGGCCTAGGTTGACTAGTGGGTAAGATGTGTGGATGGGAATGTGTGTGATATGTATATGTATGTTTGTATAGAGAGAGAATGTGGAATAAAAGTCAAAAATCCTCTCATTCTCCTACTTCACCGACACACTCTCTTCTCTCTCCCATTTTTTTATTTTTCATTTTACTTCAACCATTTCGCCACCATTTCGCCTCCAACCTTAGAGATTTTGAGCTTGCATAGAAGGAAAATTGACGGGGACTACGAGAGGAACAAAACCCGTCAATCAATTTCGGATTTGGAGCACACTTTTCCTTTAGAGTAGCTAGGGTTTGCTCCTAGCTTAAGGTAGAGGTGTATTGTACTTATAACCTAGGAGTTCTTGGAATTTTATGACCATTGTGTGAGTTATGCATACATTTGTGTGTGTGTTTAATTAGAGAGCTTATATAATGATTTAATTGTATGTCCATAATGTTTTATTGAGTTTTTATATCAATTTTCATGTGTAATATGTTATTTGTCCCATTGTTAATATTATGGATGTTTATTAAAATGCTAGATCTTAATGTATACAATTTCTTGTAATTAAAGTGCCTTATATGTTGTGTTTTTTCATGGAATTATCATGTATTTGTTATTTTGTGAAGGTTAATTTTGAAGATGTATATTTCTATGATGATGTTAAACTTTTACTCACTTGAAATTTGATATAATGATAACATGAATTTAAATGACTTTAAAATACCCAATTTGTAGACATTACATCAAAGAGTATGCCATTATCGTGATTTTGGACCATAGGACATGGATTGTGTGATTAGTATAATTTATGTGCGCATGCGAAATGCAATTTGGGCATATCATGGTATATTGATTATTTTGTAGACTTGTTTGGTGATTTTGGGAGATACGGGTTATTACTTTGAGAATGCGAGGGTTCAGCGCTCGCGGGTGAAACATGAGTTTCCCCACTTTATATTGGTCAATCAGTTAGTTTCTGACGGACTAGTAATCCGAAAACGACTATTTTTATTTAGGCGCATAGCATGACTATGTGACCGGGAGTGTGGGTGTGTTCCGAGTTATCCCGTTAATTGATTTCGACTTTTATTTTTAAGTTGGCATTTATGTGTTATTGCAACTTGTGAATTTATGTACATTACATTATATTATTTATGTTTGTCTTGATAAATGAATTAATATTATTTATGCTAGGCTAGGATGATCCTATTTAGGTTCCCCTTGAGACTAGATGTTAGGGAGCATATTCCATGTATTGTATGACCATGCAATGTTTGTAGAATTTTGAGAAACCTAGTTTATATTCATGAGACATTCCTACGGAACAATTCGTTGCTTACCCCGTTGTTTCTTATATTTTTCAGGAAAGGGCATTGCCCAAGAGGAGGTTCCTTATCCCTAGCTTGATTAGGATCTTGACAACATTTTTGAGCTACTTGTGATAATTGTGACATCCATTGTGTAGCTTACTTTTGGACTTGTATTTTGACACATGGTGTATTTTGGATATTATATTTGTTGTAAAGCATAAAACGGAAGTGAAGAGGGAAATGAAATACGAAGAACACAAGGCCTACATCCACGGTACAAAGAGCCCAAAGGGTTACATCACTTCATAATATATTCTCTCTTAATCTTTGTATACGATGATCACCTCTATTTATAGGTGAAATAATAGAAGTGATAAATATGGAAAATACATTAATGGAAGATTCCCAAAATCAATATCATAAATCACTCAAATCAATATTCTATTATATTCTAAAATCTCTCCTATGATATTTTCATATCAAATATTCTGTCAAGGAGTAATTTAAGGGTTCCTATAATACTATTTTCCAAATATAACATCTTTTAACACTCCCCCTCAAGCTGAAGAGTGTACGGAAATAGACAATAAAACTGTTAGAGACACGGTGAATGCGAAGAACAATGCTACCGAATACACAGCCCAAATAAGTCCACATAGCACCAAACACATGGCGAAGGTGACGAACAATGCTACCGAACACACCGGTAGCCCAAATAAGTCAATAAAAATTGCCGGAGACACGGCAAAGGCGAAAACATTACCGCCGAACAAACTGACAGCCCAAACAAGGCACAAATAGCACCAAGAAACCCATAACAACATTTCAGATGCTAAGGGAATACCCCAAAATAGGGGTCTGAACCTAAGAAGAAAATTAGGCTCTGATACCATGTTGTAAAGCATAAAACGGAAGTGAAGAGAGAAATGAAACACGAAGAACACAAGGCCTACATCCACGGTACAAAGAGCCCAAAGGGCTACATCACTTCATAATATATTCTCTTTTAATCTTTGTATACAATGATCACCTCTATTTATAGATGAAATAATAGAAGTGATAAATATAGAAAATACATTAATGGAAGATCCCCAAAATCAATATCATAAATCACTCCAATCAATATTCTATCATATTCTAAAATCTCTCCTATGATATTTTCATATCAAATATTCTGTCAAGGAGTAATTTAAGGATTCCTATAATACTATTTTTCAAATATAACATCTTCTAACAATATTTGATGACTGGTTTGTAATATTCTTTTGGAGGAAGGAAATGAAGTAGGAATTCACCCATCTATCTTTTGGAGTTCTTATGGAATTTCCTCTCATATCTTTACTCATGTAATCCCTTAACATTATTTCTCACCTTATGGATTGTAATGAGGCCATGGTGGCCATAACTTATATAGTGGGATTGAACAATTATTGTTTAAATTGTGTACATGTGGGTTCATTTGGATAATCTAATATAAATGGTTAATTAATCATGCTATTATTTATTTTATGAAACTATTATTATTATTATTATTATTATTTATGTGATGAATGACACCGATTTTCTCCAAATAATTATTTATTGACTCAAATGAATATAATTAATTAATTATTATTTAATTATCTATTTTTATTGTTTTTTTTTTCTTCGTGACCCGAGTCGTGAAATTCGGGGCGTGACATTGAGCTTAAGATTTGGACGTGTTTGTTCAAGCAGTTGTCAATATCACCATCCAAAACACAAAAAGTTCTCAGAGTGAGATTTTTTTAGTTTCATTCAAAAGTACCTAATTGAGCAAAACAAATACAGATGGAGTACGAGCCAGAACATTTCACAGAACTCCAAAACCATATGTACATAACTCTACCTTCTAGACCTCTACACAGTTTGAATGATGAAGAACTCGACTCCTGAACCACAGTGGAAAAACTAGACTTACTTTACACTTACACTGACCACAGCAACACACCCACATATATATTTTTCTAAGTAGCACACCCACCGCATATATATCTATATATATTGGTAAGTAATACCACGACAGTGCTATTTGACAGAAGTGGACCAAAAATCTAAAGCTATTCTTGGAGATCTCCGATATGCCCTCTTCATGCGGTGTTTGCTTAATCAGCATTCCTTAGCATCTCTGGAAAATCAGCAAGTTGTGGCAGGATCTGAATTGCAGCCTGTGTTGGAAGAAATATAAATCATCAGAACATGAACATTGTGATCGAACGAGTTGAATTATATTCACTTCATGTGAAAAGAAAATGCGTATGCAAATACTCACCCTCTCATCAAAAATCAAGTGCATTTCTCTGACTTCAGCAGCAACAGCATAAATATCACATGTAGACTTGTAGTCAGCAACAACCTCGGGCAAGAACCCTCTCGATGCATTTGAATTGAAATTCTTACCACTGCATCAAAGAGATGCAGTGAAAACCCACAAAATATGAAAAATGTAACGACCCTAATTGATGCCAAAATTTTAAAAAAAAAATTTGCATGACCTCCGCTAAAAATCGTCCTACAACAACCTGTTTAAAAGCATTTTTAACATGTCCCAACACAATAAACATCTAATACATTCCATGGTGGTACAACCACATACTATATCATCCAAGTATTATAATCACTGTCCCAAAATACAAGATTAAGATCAAATGTCTATGCTTTACAAGCCCATAGATATAATTATAATATTCAAAATCCATAAGTCATCGTACAAAATACATTATACTAAGTCGTACAAAAATAGTGAGACCCAAGTACAAAAATAACAAAATAAGCTCCTAATCCATACTAAGTCTGTGGTAAAATGTCATCCGCCACTTCTTTCCCGTTTCCTGAAAAAAATGTTAAATAAAAGGGGTGAACAAAATTACTCAATAGGTGGTGCCTAAGACACACCTCTTGAGACCCCGTGAATCCACACAATGAATAGGAATAAGAAAACGGGGATCATACCGTGCCGGGAGTAAAAGTATAACTACGATACCACATCATTAATCCAACACCACAAATAAATATGCCATGCACTGAAATGCCGTGCCATGCAATGTCACTCCCCATTTTCCCTAAACCATTTCCATTATCATTTCCAAACCGTTAGTGAACCTGTCCCATGGCAACTCTATGGCGGCACGAGAGGAGGATTGACCACTGTCCCTGACCCATGGCAACTCCAAGGCGTCATTTGGAGCTCAGGTAACTCAACCACATTAGGGCGGTCTCCTTAGTCCCCTCTAGGCCTCACTAACGCCGCGGTCCCTAGGCAACTCCTAGGCGGCCGGGTTTTTCACAAAAACCCTTTTCAAAATTCTTTCCCAAAATCAATTTCCTTTCTTTCAAATCAATTTTTCCCATCCTATCCTAATAAATGCATATATGTCTTATGCATTTCAATGACGTACCAATAAAGAAATTTTTATTTCTTACAAGTCAAATATGTACATTATACATGTCTCATAGAAGATTCATAAAATATATATATCATGCTTCTAAATTACCAAATTCAACACTTAATACACAATAGGCATGGAATTTATCATTTAGGCATGTTTTATAGAAATCTCTAAAATTTAACATCATACTTTTAAGTTATAATTTCAGCACATAAATTACAATAGGCATGAAATAAAGTAATTGAAACATATTTTCTCATACTACATGAACACACACATATAATCACATCTTTCATGAGTACAACAATTAGAATCATTTTAAAGAAATCAACACAAATATAGCATTTTAAACATCAAACAAGAAGAATAATTCATAAAGGTGCAAGAATGTATGACTTAGGAACCCATACCTCAATTATATGCAAAACTCCCAAATTCCACCTCAAACCCTCAAAATGGGTCAAGATTTTCGGAATCCCTAGGTTGCTCAAATCTGAAATTGCTGGTAAACATGTGTAGAGCTCGCCGTGCTCTTCGTTTGGCCGCAATCGGCACTTAAAAAGGCTAAGTAATGAGGGAGAAATCAAGAGTGGAAGTTTGAAATAAAAAAAAGAAAAAGAAAAAGAGAAGGAGGCCTCTGGAACGAGAGAGAGAGAGAGAGAATGAAATCAAGAGTGGTTTCATGACCATTGAAGTGCTTTGGGTCCCACCCATTTTTTTGAATTTTTTTTTCTTTTTCTTTTGCCTTTAAATTCACACCACACACACACACAATTACATATATATATATATATATACATAACACAGACGTTACAAAAAATACAACAATCCTTCCAGAGAACATGAGTCCCAACTGGGGATCAAAAGATAGTGTGAATCTGTAACATGTCTGAATCGAGAAGATTATTTCGGAGGACAAAAGCAGGGTTCTACAGACAATGACAAATACTTAACCTAGCTATAGCCTATAGCCCACTGAGGCATTGATATGGAAAGATGTTATCCTAATGCCATTAGATGTACAAGAATTATGGACAAGTGACAGTGGGCAGCAAAACATGGCAAATCGTCTGCATTCCAAAACCGAGAGGCAATACTAGTACCATGGACACATTCCATCAGTCACATTCTCAGGAGATTTACTCCCACAAGCAAACCTTACTTCGTTAAGCAACGATTCCTGGGGTTGAATGCCAGCCGCCTTCATTTGATATAGAAACTTAATGGCCTCAATACAAAAACCATGGTGTATGTAACTGGTAAGCATTGCATTCCAACAGGCAGCATTTCTCTTTTCTTCATTCATCTCAAATGCCTTTCTTGCATCTTCAACTAACCCGCATTTTCCATACATGTCAACCACCCCGCACTGCACATAATCGTCTGATTCAAGTCCCAGCTTTATTGCACTGGCATGGACTTGCTGGCCACACAGTCCATCATCCTCCATCCTGCAACATGCCCTGAGAACACTAGAAAATGTAAAGCTATTCTTCTTTATTCTCAATTTTCCCATCTCCTTAAAATCATCAAGCACTTCATCAAAACGCCCTTCTCTACAGTTGTTAACAATTTTTGCTGTCCAAATCACTGTGTTGCGACGATGCATATGATCAAAGACGAAGTCAGCACCTTCTACGCATCCACATTTACCATATAAATTGATTAAGGAGCTACTTAGAAACATATTTGTCGAATTGCCAACCTTAAGTAGCCAACCATGGATTTGCTTCCCAAGTTCTAAATTCATCGTGTGGAAACATGCCTTGAGAATGCATACAATAATCCAAGAAATTGGGAATTCAATCATGTCATCATTGTTATGGTATCGTCGGCGGTTTTGCATTTCTACAAACAAATTTATAGCTTCCTCATAGTCATCATTCTCCGCATAACCAGCAATCACGGTCGCCCACGAGTTAGAGTCCTTCATGGGCATTTTATCGAACAATTGGTGGGCATTCTCAATTAGACCACACGATACATACATCAGCAACAGGCGGTTAAGCAATGGCAAACCGGGACGGATGCCACTGCTGTCGATGTGGGCATGAAGCTCAACGGCACTGGCAATGTCCCGAGTATCACAACACTCTTTGATGAGAGAAGCGTATATATCTATCGGTGTGGGAAGGCCAAGGGCATCCATCAAGCGCAAAACGTCCGATATGGTGCTTGTGGTGGTGGTGGTGGTCTCCCTCCAACTACTATGCTTTGATGGTTTGATTAGTTGTTGAAGTTTTTGAAGATGGTATTTGGGTTCTCTTCGTTTGGGACGTTGTTGCAGTGCCAGCTGAATTTGAAGTGAAGGTCTTGATAAAGGATGGTTATTGACACTGACAGTGCTATATATTTTTTTACCATTGTTGTGTGAATGTATATTATTATTGTTATTATACATGTTCAAAGAATTATGGTTATTATTATAAAAAGCTGATTTTGGGGAGGTGTAAGTGATTTCCATTTTATGTGTGGATTTGTAGCTCACTATATTTTATTGATGAAACCACAAGATTGTGGAGACAGAAGGGTTCTTCATTAATGGTACTTGGAGAGGTGGTTTGCTGTAATATGCCAAGCTAGATGTTTTCACCTCTATAATACTACTACTTAAGCCATATAGCAGTTTTTCTTTTTAGTTTTAAAATTCGTTTCATTGTCACTTCTAACATGAAATTTGACTTCGTAAAACTGTCTTTTTGTAGCTTTAAAACTAAACTAAAATTCTGTTGTTTAGCTTCTTTACTACAGCTTTTGAAAACACAAAAAAAAAAAAACTGTTTTTGTGTTTTTTGGTGTTTGATTGTCCTAAAATATTTAAAAAAAATAAAAAAATATTAAAGCCAAATACACCCACAGCCCACCCTATGAACAGGGACGGACATGTGATTTTTTTTTTTTTTTTTTTTTTACTATTATGTCTCATTATTTTTGTCACCCTTTCCTTGAGTTTCTGGGTCCGTCCCTGGGATGGACTCAATCTCAACCTAAACCTAAATCTTTGTAAAAAATACCGTAAAATAAAAATAAAAAAAGAAAATATTTTACTTAAAAAATATATATATTTTCCTAAGATTTCACATCGACAATAACGGAGCCTAAATTAAAGAAATTTTTTGAGGCTATAAGATAACAAACAACTTTAAGAGTTTAATACAAAATAATTTTTGGTAAAATGTTTTCCAACAATTTTAACAAAAATTGTTTTACGCGTCGGCGTCGCGTCTTCTACCCCTTCGTTATTCCTCATACAGGTTGTATTTTTTTTTTTTGACAATTTTTCGAACATCCGAAAAGGCTAGAAAAAAATATTTTACATGAAAAATGATTTACGGAAAAATTATTTTTCAACAAAAATGTTTTACGTCGGAGCATTTTAGGCAACCAAACAAACCAAATCAAAACCAGCTAAAGCATAATTAGAGGAAAAATACACGCTCCTCCACGGATCACAAAGCATTAAACCATAAACTGATTATGGAAATCAACAGGCTTGAGACTAAAACATGACAAATTAGCAACAACAAATTATATTAACTGTCTTTCATTTCGCAAAAATACATGCTCCAAACATGGCTTTTCTAATCTCTCCCTTTGTGGTTTCTATGTTTTTTTTTTTTTGGGGCCATATTTTTAACCCAATAGTTGCTCCATAGACTAAGATATAGGCAATTCTAGAATACATGTCAAGAAGGAAACAAAAAATTTTGTATGAAGTCTTAATTTTTCCACTTTAACCTTTTTTCTTCAACGCATCACTGATTAGCCAGCAAAAGAGACATGGGATCAAAATACGCCAGAGGCAGACCAGAACCCATTTTAGGTTGGTTGTTTCACAACAGCACCTGCATAAAGGGAAATTACGATTCCCGATTGGCTTAACCTGCAAAAACATTATAACGAAGGGCAGCAGACAATTTTTGTCTGATTGTTCTGTTAAAAACCTGATCATGCAAATATAGGAGCTGCTTGGTGTTTTCTCCTTCCAAAATCCATTGCTCCCCATCACCAAAGAGGCCCTCAAATCAATGTCAAGTCATTCAGGCTGATAAATCAGTTCTCATTCCTTTCCATTGTCAATATGGCATGCTGTGGGATTTCCATTCTCTTCAGATGCATTATTATCTGATTCATCTCCAGAATTGCAAGCAGATGAACACAATTCCACACATTTCATTCTGCCCGCAGTCAGATCTTGGGATGATGAGTAATGGATTGATTGCAAGAAGTTGAAGTAAGCATACTTAATATCAAACTGCATATCGTACCCTGCCAGACAAAAACGAGTTTATACAACAGAAGAGAAAAGCCAAAACACGGGGGAAAAAAGAAGAGAAAAGGCTTTGAATATTATTACAATAATTTATTGCAATAGTGCGTCCCCTGCTGTCTGGACTCTGTCTAACATGATGGAACCACATACTCGGTCTGCATAAACTCCAGCATATCAGCACCGTCATGATAAACAAAAAACTTGTAAAAGGTCTGTTGAGTATAAAGTGCAACACCATGCAGTAGGTTTAAATATGTAAATATAACAAGGTAAACTTATAGGCATTTAGAAAACCAACTCGCCTTTCTCTCACAAGTAAATTTTTTTCTAAAATTTCAAGGTTTAACATTTGCATGTTGCAGAAGGTTTCTTAATGTCTGAGGCATCATGTCTTCATGTTTGGGGAGACATGAATCAGTTACACAGAGCACATCTTCCGATATGATTGACCATATGCAAAACAAGATTAAAACCTGCAGGCTTGGGCTTGTTCAAGAAGAACCCACTAATGCCCAATTACTCCTTTGCGAGGGACTTGAAATGAGTTACCATTTGTAGGTGACTCCTAAATGTAACCCTCAAAAGGTTACATCAAATGTTTAGTCCAGATAGAAGAGAGGATCTTTGACAAGCAATTGGCACTTTAAACTTGCAATTCAAGCACAGCATTTCACATTATGAAGATAAAAGTTGACAAGCATGTAGCAACTAACATCACCTTTTGACATGCATATTTTAAAATCAGATTGCTTTACAGAAGCAAATTTGATATAAATATAATCGAGTTCCTACTGTTTACCTTTTAAGATGCCATGTAAAAACAAAAACAAAAACAAAAAAAAAAAAAAAACACATCGAGATGAAGATGTAATTTTGACACTTGATTAATCATGAAACTAATAGGTGCTACTGGACAAGAAGCAAATTCTATCGACTTGCAACAATAAGAATCCAAAGGTAGCAAAAGACATGAGACCTTGACAACATTGCTGAGCCCACTTTTAAATAGTTTAAGCTTAGCAGTCCACTCCTCCAATATCAGATCAAAGTCCATAAAAAGTTGAAAATTGACACAAGTTTAACATATTTATCCCAAAAGAAACATAAATCAATTTCAACCTAAAAGTCCATTCTTTTATCAATATCTTTCACACATCTTATGTTCAAAACTGCTTCCTACATATTCCATAGGTCTATATATTACGATATCACTTTCTATAGAGCCTACTTGAAATATAAATAAATTTTTATGCATTCAGAATATCTTTCAAATATATAAATAAAACAGATAGAGAAATGCACCATAAGTGAAAAGCTTACAAGTAAAGAATCTCCCCAGCCTTAACCGTACACTCGAAAGGCTTTGGTCCCTTGAAATACAATGGGAATTCAGACATTTCTCTATCTCTGGTCTCTGGTGAAGGGTAAGGATTCACACTGCACCAAGGCACGTATCTTACAGGATCTTCAAGTTCCAACGTAAACTCTCCAGTATCCTACAAATCATAACCAAATACACCACCGAAACGTGTACATAAATTAAACAGTGCATGTGTGTGAAAAGAATGTGTGCGTGCTTGTGTGCCTTTATGTGTATACACATGAATTAGGTAAAGGAATGTCTATATCGATAACCAAATACACCACCAAAATGCCTACATAAATGCACATTAACATAAACACATATATACACTTGTGTAGGGTGTATAAATGAAGAACAAAGCAGCAAACTTTAATACACATATGTTTGGATGGGTTTGTGTCTCTATATTCTATATAGACGAAGAGTAAGGTAATGCTAGTACAAGAGACATGTGATATATGTGTGCGTATAAAAAGAAAGGTAATAGACCTACCTGGGAGTAGCAGTAATGAGCTGCAGGGTACTCACGAATGTACATGCGATGAACATCCGTGGGAGGAAGAAGAAGAAAATTTTTCTCGCCGGTCACAACGGCGTAGAGATTCTCGTAATGGTCCTTGTGGAATGAGGTCTCCGAGTGATGGTTTCCAATCCAGAGGTTCACGGCCTCAGGAAGACAACCCAGGGCTTCGGTGGCCCACGGAATGTGCGAATCGCAATCTCCGGCAAGCGATGAGTACTCCGATCGAAAACAATCGTTCTGTTGCTGTGCATAGGCGACGAATTTGGAGTCTGGATTGGAATTGTAGATAGCGCGGAGAGCGAGAGGGAAGGGCATGGGTTGGACGTGAGCGGAGGCGAAGCAGAGGGAGGAGGAGGGGTGAAGGGCGAGGGAGTCGGCGGCGCCGGTGGGGGAGAGGTGGAGGGAGACGGTGGCGGAGGAGAGGGAGCGGAGGAGGTAGGAGTCAGAGGACCAGGCGGTGATGGCGGGCCAGTGTAGGGTGGCGGCGGAGATGATGCAGGGCTTGTTTGGGGAGACGAAGTTTCGGAGGAATTGGAGTGGCGTTGGAGGTGTGTCCAAACGCTCCACTTGAGTGGAGTTCCCCAAGCTCAATTCTCTCACTTCTTCCCAGAGATTTTCCATATCTCCCCCCCTCGTAATGAGAGTGAAAACCTGTTTCGTTTGCGTTTCAAATTCTCACAACTTTGATCCATAAACGACCATGTAGCTTCAAATACATCAACACTACTGGTTTAAGATATGAATTTCGAAGTAAAAAAATAAAATAAACTAAAATTAGAATTATTTATTTAAAAATCTATGTACGTATTTTTTTTGGTGCTTCAAATACATAAACACTATCCTTAACTTTGATTTACACTGATTGCTGTAGACTTGATAGTAATTAAATTAGAAGCAAGACAAATCTCACATTTGGTCATTTTACACTTTGGCAAAAGTATTTAAAGGGAAATCAGTCCAACTTCATACTTATAAGCTCAACAATCTTACCTTGTTGTCCTATATAGTAATGTAAAAATGAGAATACAAGAGAGAAGAAAGCTAAAAAAATCCCATTCACTATTGGAACTGTCTCAATTTTCAATGAAATTCTTTTGACAATGAATATATCATTTGATAACCAGTCATGGCTAATGATTTATGAAATTAAAATGTAGATGCTCATCAAGTCTCGGCCTGCTAACCCACTGATCTGCACTTTTCCATTGTCGGTCCGGTCCATCTCTGAGGGTTCCAACTATTTTACCAAGGTCATCTCTGAGAGGTCGCACCCATTTACCAAGGCCAGCTGAACAAAATTGAGGATTCTGCCACACTTCTAGTTGGAGTTTTACTGTTTTGTCTTTCCCTGGAAAAGAACCTCTATAGTGTAATCTTTACTAGCATCAGTAGAGCTCAACAAGGCAGTAGATGGATACAAGCAATCCCATATGATCTGAAGGCAATTTTTCCCTCTTAGCTTGCCCGGGAGCAGCCATGCAAGCTATAAGACGAGGAGAAAGCCCTCCACGTATTATATCAGCAATCAACAGCAGATGGATGATTAATAGCCAGGACGAATTCTATTTGGCAAAGGCCTTGCAATAAGGGTGTCAGTGACCCAACCTGCTAGTTCCCCATCGTTTTGTACATGGTTGAATTCCCTTTGCACATACTCAAGAGATAGTTGCAGCCTTCCCCCAGGTCTGCAGTCATCAAAGGCACTACTCGTTTTGATTCCTGCATTTTTCTCCAGCCAGTAAAGATAATTAACATGGAACAAGGACTTCAGCATGTCTTGTGGTGAAGAGCTTTCTTTGAGTATTACCTGATACAAGCCAAATATTACAAATCAGGGTGAAAGAAGAGAAATAGAATGTGTCTTTCTGACATAATGTATGACACTATTTCCAAAAGGGCAAAATTCATTATATATATATATATATATATTCGGTAAATAAATGGGGTCTTCATGTTAGCTAACTGTATGTAGATAATCGACAAAAAACTCAGGGACATGAATGAAATTTGTTTCTCTATTTGTATTTTTTCTTTTGTTATATCTGTTTGTTTTTCAATATATACTTGTTTTGGAGAAAATGTGAGATTGACGAGAGGACAGAGAGAGGAGAAAAATAAGAGGGTAACCATTCCCATGCTTTATAGAGTGGGTTCTCTTTAAAAGGAGCTCTTGCTTGTTAGTAGAAGGGATTGCTTTTCCACTTTTTCTAACTCTAGATTGCTGTCCGGAATCCCCACAAGATCACTCCTAAATAGCACTTCCCTCTTGGCCACCAAACTACAACCTACATAAACAACCCCCGGGTACCCGTCGAGCCCTCCCGCAGAAAATGGGTTGCCAATGCAACTCGAACATGTCAAAGGGTGAAATCCCATGCCTACAAATATCCCACTGCACCTGCATTGATATTGATTGCATCTTATTCTAATCATGGAATGCCACCTCAGAGATTCAAAAGACGATTAATAAACTTCAATGGAATTACATAGTAGCGAGAATTACTGATGCTATCAGCACCAGAAATTTGCAAAAGGAAGTGCACCACTTAATCACAGTGTCACCTAGGTGATAACAAGGTGAAGCACAGCCACATAGAATGCCAACAGGATCATGATGCAAGCCTTTGGCCACACCATGAATGCCAACAAATTGTGACACAAGCCATGGGTCACCCACAGATGCTGAGATTACGATGCTCAAAGCCACAGACCATGACCATTTAAAAACTAATTAGGGATTAGTCATATTTTGACTTACATCTATAAATTATAGGATGGACCAGATAGTTTTACTAGCAAAAATACCAAAGCACGCCCTTAAAGCTAACCCTCCCTCCCTACCCCCACTTTCTACTTACTTCTTTCTCTCAGGTTCTGATCCTCACCGCTCACTCTACCTCACTCTCTCTCTCTAACCAAACCCACGAAGTCCGAAAATAAAATCAGCTAAAGCACAAGTGTGTTTCTGCTTTTACAGAAACTAACTCTACAGATTTAGCCAATTTTAATTTCCTATGATACTCATAAGAACTGAAAGAACTTGGCTTTCCTTTTGTAAGAATATGAATAAATCCATTTAAAATGGCCTCTACTCTACCATTTCATCTTAGCACTGTAGTCTGGTTCAGTAAAGATGTATGTATCCCTTTTGAAATTGATTAATCTCCCATAAAAATTACAGATTCACTGGCTTGAATACAAGTAAAGCCCTTCTGGAAAAAGGACTCACTGGGCAGAAGAAATAAGGTGCTGATGAGCACATTGAACTATTCATGTCATTGAGATCCCTCACTCTGTGGAAGAACTATTTTCTAATTTACTGAAGGTTACGCAAAACAACTTATAATCATAACCTAAATCAGAAAAGAAAGGAAAAAATAAAAACAAATCTCCCGAATGTGGTGGACTTGGTCAGAGAGAGAGTGAAGGAGAGAGAAGCAGGAAAACCAGAGAGGAAACGGAAAAGAATGGGTAAACAAAAGTTTAGGAGTGTTTTTCTGTTTTTGCTAGTACAAAACCATCGTTTAGTGTCAGTTAACAATTTGGGTCAAAATTACACCGATCAGAAAGTAATTTTAAAAAGAAACCAATAAGGTACATGCAGAATTATGGGACTTATATAATATAATAACAATGATAATAATAATAATAATACAGTGGACTGATGATGATGATGATGATAATAATAATATACTATATCGTATTTTTGAAGGATTGAATCTTTTCACAAAAGAAAAACATGAATATAATTATCTTATTGCATTCATATCTATCAAAAAGGTAATTATCTTATTACATTCATAGGATGAGATAATCTCGGTAAAAAAGATTTTAATAAAGGGGTCATCTGGTAATTTTGCCCTTTCAAGTACCTAGAGGTTCAGGTTTTCTATTATTTTGGATGGCAGAGATACAAATGACAGGGTTCTACCTATAGGATACCAAAACAAAAATAAGTGTAGAAGTCAAAAAACAGAAGGCATCAAAGGAGGTGAAGAAACTGACACCAACAACACACGCACAACCCACACACAAAAAAAAAAAAGAGGTGTTTGTGGGGGTGGGCTGTTAAAAACAGATTTTTAGAGGGATTGAGATAGTGATTTACTTACGCAAAATCTTCCCTCGTGTTCGGTCAAAATGTAACCCTCATTTTTGTACAGGTCAAACAATGCAAGGGCATCCTCCTTGTTTTTAATAACTTCAGAGAGCTTGGAGCCCAGCCGCAGCCGGTGCTCAATGTTAGCAGCTGCATCCTTGGCTTCCGAAGATAGGATTGCAGATTGTGCCTGAAAAGTGAAAATCATGACACAAGAATCAGACATCGGAGATTTGGAAAAAGTCTTCCCACAGCTAGTTTTGGACTATATATTCAAAATCCTGCATTCTTAGCTAATGACAGCTCAAAATCAAAAACAGCAAAGAGGCATCACTTTGGTTCTTGTGTCACATTTCAACAAACTGCAGAACCAGCGGGTAAATAAAAAGGTTGAGCAACTAAAATATTAATCAATTTTAGAGTGATACTACATCATATTGAAAAAACTCAAGTCCTTCAGGAGAAACCAAAGTGGAACTGGAAAATTATTTTATCACATTGAAAAATTACAACAAAAGAAACTTACTTTATATTCTGGCTTCATATTAAGAAGCGGTACAGCTGGAAAAAGTGGTTCCTCATTGTTGACCTCTTTAACAGAAGGAACCAGACCACAAAGCAGATATTCACTAAAAACCAAACCTGTCAAATTAAAATACAGAGTATATATTTTTTCATTATATAATTAATGGAAAAAATTGTGGCCTTCACTAGGCAAAACAAAATTAAAGATGACCGGTGCCATAATTGAATTAAAAATTTTGATAATTCGAAAAACCTTGTGACAACCATCTGATCCAGCATGTTTTCAATGAGTACTTAAACATAGCCAACAGAGATGTTGAGAGCCTAGCAAATTAGAACTCCAATGTATCCAAATCCTAAGGTTAGCAAAAATGACCATGGACTTATTTATAAAAATGTAAAGGAATAGATTAAGATGACCATGAAAGCTTTGTAGACTTGTGGGGAAGTTGAATAATAAATGGTGATGCAGAGTGAGTAGAGAGCTCTATGGGACGCCAGCATTTACTTCGCCAAGTATCATTTGGAATTGGAATTGTCCAGTAAATGATCATCAATAGTTATGTGTTTACGACCCCAAGTATTATGTATTTGTTCATATTTTATCTATCAATCAGTTTCTATTAAATAATTAAATGTACCTCACAGTTCAATACACTGTGAGGGCAAAATGAAAACCAATACTCACCATGATACAAGAGCTGACATTTACGAAAATATTTATAATTGCTACTTTCCACATGTCCACCTCCCAATCAGACACAAAAGCATATCTGTGGGACCTACCATTTCTGAACCCTTTTTGGATCATCTAAGCACCAACCCGATTCATATTGCTAAGCAGCAGATGATGTCAACATGCATAATGAACTGCTTTATATTTAATATAGCAGAAGTTCTCATATCATCATCACAATATCTTATTTATTAATAATAAAAAGGACGTACTCGCACGATACGGATTCAATGTCCTTAGTTGAATTGACTGGTATGATTTCAGATTGCAGAACATGTGGATCCAAGTTACTGCACCAAAAGTAGCAAGGGCAAGAGGTGTAGAAGAACGTATGCAGTTAGCAACTGCTATGCCAAGCATGATACCAATAGATTTGCTCACCATTCCCTGAGCTTCACCCTTTGCAATAACCTGCCATCACTAATCCTTTCAGGGAATATATGTAAAGGAGGTAAATACCATTGAAGATAGAAGTACAATATCGTGAAAGATACATAAGCAAAAGCAATGAATCGACAGAAACACATGCCCGTATTAGCTGAAACAAAACAGATGCCAATTAATGAAACTAGGTGCTTTGACAAAGATAGTCATTCAAATCTCTAGAACAAATGTCCAAGAGGGAATCTGCTTTACCTCGGCAAAATTCCTCTGAGCGGCAAAGCCTGCATAGAAGCAGCTCCTCGTAGCAGCCTGACAAGAGTTTCCACTATTAGGTAATGTACATCTTATTTCACGCATGAAATATTTTTCTTAGCGCGTCTCAAATGATGCTTGAAATTAAAAGCATTATAAGGTCCTGAAGATGTTTAAAAGGAAATTATATAACAAATTCACAATATATATCAATAAGAAAAAGATATAAAACTTTGTCAGTCCTTCAACCCTTTCACTTTATTTTTTTCCCATACAAGAATCAGTATTGAAAAATATTTACTGAAAAAAGTACAAATGAAAAAATATAAGAAATCCTTTAGAAGCACAAGCAGGAAAAATACATAAGAAGTGAAAAAGAAGTCCTCAACACAACCTAAGGAGTGTAAAGTGCCCCCTAAAATACTCGTAACATTATTGCCCTTGTTAAAACCAATTAGTTCAAAAGCTTGAGCGTTAAAAAAAAATTGACTGTTAACACAGTGACAGTGCAAAAGAAGTCTTATTTACAAACCCCGCCACCTCCCCATACTCTAGCCATCCAAGCAAACTTCACATTCAAATAAGTTAGGTCACTCCCAAGCATGAGATTGTTGTATTGCCACATACAAGGCAACGTGAATAATGATTGTTGAATACATTTCACCCTAAAGCTTGCCTATTTTAATAATTTGATATGCCCAAAACAATCCTAAACCCAAACAGGGCAAGCCTTTATTGGAGCTCTTTCGTTTTTAATAGGAAAAAGAAATTTTATAGAAGATAAAAAAATAAAAAATAATACCAAGGTGGAAACAGAGAAATCATGGCCTCAAACATAAAACTGAATAACCAGAAGCAAGAGGGTAGCGATAAAACCTAACACACCCGATGAAAGTCAGCCTCCTCTTAGCCAAGAATTCTGCCTTGGCATAGCCTGACTGACAAATCCAAGAAAAGGTAAAAAAGGATAACAGAGGACAAATCCTGATTTGCTAATCAAATAATCATAACATGAGTACGTCTCTCCTTCATAGCCCAACCCAAAATAACAGAGGAATCCCCATCTAAGATGGCTCTCTCCCAAACAAATTGCCTCTGCAAGCACAATAGGTTATCTGTTTTGACAGCTTCATCTTCATGGATTTAAGTAGTATATAATTATTGGCGACATTGTGGGTGGGTGTGCGTGGGCGGGTGCGAGGCACTGACAGGCTACGAATGCACGATCCCACATTGCCTGGGTTTGGAAAGGGGAAGTGCTATGTATGTAGGATTGGTACACTCCAAATGGTACGAGGTCATTTGGGATAAAATCCAAGAACAAGAACAAAACCGTATGGGCCCAAACCCAAAGCGTACAATATCATAACTTGTGGTGGAGTGCGCTGTTACAAATGGTATCAAAGAGTCACCCAGCCCGAAGTGTGCCGACGGGGACATCAGGCCTCTTAGGGGGTGCCGGGTGGGTAGTGGCGACCTTGTGGGTAGTTGTGCGTATACAGTAATTCTCTGCCTTGACATCTAAAATGCCACCACTCCTAATTAAACTGGATTCCCAATAAATACAGCCAACAAAGATAATTTTAACCACCCTAACAAAAGGAGCTTTCCATATAATCAAGGTCCTTCAAATTATAATACAAGTAAGCCACAATTCAATCTCCTTTAATCAACATACAAGGAAGCTTTTAGACTCCATAACCAAATCCTGTATGGAAGCCAAAAAAATCTCTATCCCCCATCTGACTTAAACCTTCAAACTTCTATTATAATAATAAATAAATAAATAAGTAATAAAAAAATGAAAAGAGTTCCTCTTTGTCTGATTAACCACATCAACAAAAGGAACAGAGAGTGCCAAAGAACTTTGCCTCTTTTGCTCTTGCCAATTCCTCTAAAATTAATTTTCGTCATCATACTACAATTAGTTGTGGACTTTCAACTCAGACCAACTAAAACAATAGTTTTCTCCACAACAAGGACTTACAAGAAAAGGTACCATCAGGGACAAGACTCCAACATCTAAAATCTAGATAATGAGATATACAGACATTATTAACAACTTGACGGAAAAGTGAAAGCTCTTCAATCCCCAAATCATTGAGATTCTCGAAGAAATTGAAATAACATCCGGATAGAAAGAAGTTACCTATAAAAAATTTTTAAAAATAAATACAAAGCGCTGAAAAGACAAACAAAAAGGAGCATCCCCCTTATAGATATCCCATAAATAAATTAAAAAAACATTATTCTTATTTGTACCATTTTTTCATGACTCACACCATCATACCACTATAGTTGGTGAATTCATGACTAAATTACTTACATACTTCTAATCAATTCAAACTTCTTCTGCCATAAATAACTTATGATACCTAGCTAGAAATGTTATGTTTTCCTTTTCAAAAAATTAGCTAGTCAATTCAGTATCCTTATTATAATGAATTAATCTATTCTTTCTACTTTTCTATTGATGAGTACAATTGCAAATGTGAATACGGGAAGCATGCAAATGAAGGCATCCATGACAATAATACGACATTTAGCATATAGCAGAAGTTTTCCGAGTTACCTGGATTAGTGCAGCCGCCGAGCGTCCTGCTCCAGCCGCAGCACCAATTGGAACAAAGAGATGAGGAAACGCAGGAGTTATAATCTCCAGTCCGTATGCAGCATTTTCCAAAAGATCAGCAAACAACCTCCATCCCTTTGGATTGACATCAAAATGTCGGCCAAATTTGGACAACATAATTTTGCTCAGATACCCAATTCCATCCTTGAGTACCCAATTCACAGCAGCTGCAAGTGGAATGGCTCCTTTTCCCAATCCAACAGCATAAAGCAAAGCCTGTATTTAAAACTAAGACCGGTGACTATATAAATAAGAGAAGTTTCAAAGGAATATACACAAATGACGTAGGAGAGAAAAATATACCTGGGTGGCAAGAACGCCACTAATTTGGGCGGCAACACCTTGGACCCCCCTCCAAAGAGAGTACTCTAAGTAGTCACTGGTAACGCTGTGAGGAAAACCTTCCGGGAGCATCAAGCGCACAAAGAGATCCCTACATTGCATCCACATATTGGAGACGAAACCCTCGACACCACCGCTGCCGCCGCCGAACGACGATTTCCCGGTAAGGACAACAAACGCATCCTTGTAATAATCAGGAATGAGCTTCGTCCAGTTCCCGCCCTTTATTTCCCATACAACTTCTTCCTTTTCATTCTCAGTAGTTGTGCTAGTCCTTGCTTTTGCCCAAGCGATCTGGAAGTAACTACAGCAACACAAGAAGGACATTAGGGATACAAAAGCCCTTTTGCATAGAGCTCTAGTTGTTCCATCATCAATGGCAAGCAAACGAGAGCAGAGGAAGGAGAGAAACTGATGATAGGGAACACAAGAACTACTATGGTCCTCTTGCCAACCCCACCACTCACCAGAACTAAAAGGGCCATCCCAACCGCCGCCGCCGCCGCCGCCGCCACTGCCTCCACGGTGGTGGTTGTTGGTGTTGTTTCCGTCGTCGCAATTGCCACCGCCATGTTCCAGAGAGAGCAGGGGAAGGAGAGGAGCATGAGATGGAGAGGAATTAGGGTTTCTGACAAATACAGACAGAGTTGATTCGTTGAGTTTCTGTGCGCTGTATTGTGAAATGAGTGATCCCCGCAGCTCACCACCACCGAAGGCAGCGGCGGAAGCGTTGTTTGGAATGGTGGCGGAAGAACTGGGGCGCAGTGACAGCAGAAGCGTAGTGGGTGGTGGTGCAGGCAATTGCGACGGCAATAAGGGCCTGCTAGCGCAGCCCATTCTCTCACTTTCTTCTTCTCCTCTCCGAGTCTTCGGACGGGTCGCGCACTCGCGCTTCTTTATTTCCTACGGACGGCCTTGATTTGTAGCAAATTATAATATTGACACTATATTAACTTTAAATTCTTTGTATTAATTTAATTTTTTTTTTTTTTAAATACACATTTGATTTTTTATAAATAAAACCTTACATGTTGTTAACGTAAATGATCCTTGTTCATGAACGTGATGGCATTGTATATGGAAAGTTTCTTATTCTAAATATATAATTTTGAAAAATTATAATTATAAATTCTTTATGGATATGTCACGTAAAATTGTAAATAATGATTATCACAAGACTCGCAACAAACTAACAATACTCATAAATAATTTGTCATATACTAAAATTGATCGGGGCGTTGTTGACGCAAATAAATTAAATTGAGCATTCTTCGATTTTATCCCTTTATAAACTCAATTTCAAATGAGTTGGCTTATAAAAAATACCATTTGAATTTTAATTGTATTTTGTTATTTCTTATATTTCATTATTTTATTACTATTTTCAATGATAATTTGATATAAATTGAGTCATTCATAAACAATTTACTCACCGAACAAGCCGAATTCAACCAAACATTTTTGAACTTGTTAAACAGATCGAAAAAGTCATTACTGAGCTCCTTGGGCTCACAAAAAAATACATTAAAACCTTCTGAACATTACTGTAATTTTTAAGAATTATTTGAATTTTAATTACTGTAATTTTTATTTATCAACCTTGATCTCAAACTCGAATTTAAAATGGACATTGACTAAACAAGCCAAGTTCAAACTCACCGAACACTGTTAAATATCAAGTTTGATGAGCCGAAAGAGGAGTTCATCCTCTCTACTCCAGTTACAGCCCTTTAAATAGGTATGTAAGTGGTAACTTTCCAAAATTATCTCTGCGAAAAAAAAAAAAAAAAAAAAAAAAACTTTTAAACATGTCGTGTGTTCATTACTTATCATTGTTTAGGCTTAGCTGTCATTGTCACTGTTGTTCATAATAAGGGTTTTGTGTGAATTAACCAGAAAGGAAAAGAAATGGAAAAAGTCTAAATTTTTAGAGTGGAAACTGAAAATTTTGAAGAAAATAGATTCCTCCGATTAATTTTTCCCAAAATAATTCCAGCTTAAAGCACTGAAAAGTTTTCCAACCGTCCTTTTATATGTCAATTTCCAATTCTGCCCCGAGTCTGTTTCTATATCATCACTCTTCTTTTCACAAACTGGATATAGATATAAATATAAAATAATTAGGTATAAATTAAATAATTATATATATATTTTTAATAATCTTTGTCAACAAAGAAAACTATATATATATATATATATATATATATATATATAAAATAATCCATATTTTACTATTTATTTGCTAAAATAAACAATTGAGTATAAAAAGTTATTCATTTAATACAAATTTATTTATTTTTTTAGTATTTAAAATTATAAGGGTATTTGGTAAGTAGAATCATTTTTTTTCTCTTTTCATACCATCTAAACTAACAAAATAATATTTTCTCGCAACTTTTTGCAAAACAAATTTCAGCTAACCAAATGCATGATAAAACTTAATTTTTTTTTTTTTTTTCACTTTTACTTTTACTTTTACTCCAACTTTTTATCATAAATTTTCCCCTAACCAAACCGACTATTGTAAACCATTGACTAAGAGGAAACATAAAACCTTTTCACATGATGAAACAACAAGACAAACGATAGAGGTGGCGGTTAAGTAACCGGCCTTTTTGAAAAAGAGAAAAAATAGAATTGAAAGTTAAATAACTTGTAAACTTGGGATCAGCCTAGGCCACCTGTCATATAAGTCCATTCACTCAATATATAAAATATAAAGAATTTAGGTTCTCATAGTTAGGATCACATTGGAAGTGCTGCTTGACCTAATTAGTATCTAATCTTTGCTGCCATGTAACTTATAGACGAAACATAACATTCACATGGTAACTATTCTGCAAATGCAAGTGAGACCATTTTCATATGCTAGCTCATATCAAACCTTACCAGGCAGTAACATAAACTTGTCTCATTATTTGCTTCATGAATTCTCGTGTGTTCTACTATTAGAAATCAGTTAAAAACCCACAAAAATATAGCCATTCAAGTCCTAATTGTCGATGAACTCACAAATGAATAGCGGACTCTTTGACAAAGAGCTGCTTCACTCAATAAGTCATAACAAACCAGATATGAAATCTTTTCATGTTTCCAAGAGGCAGTCCGTGCTTGAACCATTAATGGAAAATTACACAAGAAATTAATGGTTTCAATGGTATGTCACCTTTACTGCTGAGAACTGATCAAGTATACGCTCATCTCACCCTTGTAACCATGCAATTCAAACATGGTTCAATGTAAGCATTGACTGGGTCTAACAAAGATTACAGATATTGTGATAATATCTCTATTCATGAGAGATATATGTAATGACCTTAACAAGTTAGAAAAGAAAAGGAAAAATAAAAACTAAAAGATTGTACAGACAAGTCAAGTAACTGTACCTAAACAAAAATTCAAGGAACTGTTGACCGACCTTTAAGCCCTAAAGGCTTCCATGACGATTCAAGCCGCAAAAGGTGCAATTTCTCAACAAATGGCTCTAAAATTTCTGCATAGTCTTCTGGTGCAAAGGCCATGCAAATGCTAAGCTCTTGGACTGCCTCCTCATATTCCCTGGAATTTGCCACAAATAATTTTTACACCAGTTAGCCAGAAAGAGGAACAATCTAACCAAACACCCTCAAAACATAACTACCTTTAAAAGCAACTAGGAATTTTCCAAATATCATACCTATTATAATACAACATCATGCCATGATCTCTCCTTAAAGCCCAGTTATGTGGCTGCAGAATCAACAATCTCTCTGAAGCCATAATGGCCAGCCTAAAAAAAGAAGGATAACATGCCACACAAGATGTTATTTTGAGTAACATACAAACTAACATAATCTACTGTCAAAAGCTCAGCGCATAGTTAGCTATCCAACAAGACTAAAGAGCTTTCACCATTTGGTGATACTCAAAATGCAAAATGATACAATTACTGTGTCATGAAAATACAATCCATACTTCAATTTCCCTAAGAAAATAATCAATTTCTAGAACTTGGAGGCAAAAAAACTAAAATAACAAGAATTCACTATAATCAGAGATAAATTTTCAAGCTGGTCATTGCTAAATTCAACTAAACAAAGTCTTTTTTCAAGCTGGCCATAGCTGCTAAGGAAACCAAAATAACATGAATTCATCATAATCGGGGATTTTTATAAGCTGGCCACAGCTGATTATGTTTTTGTTTTTTTAAAGGTCAATACACAATAATTGACTATAAAGTTCGTCAAAATACACACACACACACACACACAATCTCCTTAACTGCCAGAAAATCTAGGATCCATTGTGCAATAGGTTGCTTAATTATCCAAAAAACCATCAAAAGTTTCTGCTATTTCTTTCATCCTACAATTTTTTCTTTGCTCAGCCAAAAGTAGAATTGCATAGAATCCTCATCTACATGTACTTCGATATTGCCAATAAATAAGAAGGATCAGTAAAGTGCAAGTAAGAAAAACCCAAATCATCCCAGAAACAAGACTGGCTCGGCCAGCACTAAAAGGTCCTCCCTTCAAAGCCATCCAATTCCCCATCTATCATGTACTCCAACATCGCCAATAAATAAAAATAGATTTCCAGAAACAAGACTGGCTTGCTAGCATCTCCTCTCGTCAATGTGTCCCGCATGGATTTAAGAAAGAATTTAAACAAAGAACAATGGCATACATATTACTAACATGGTTGCTCCCTCTCTCTCTAGCTCTCATTTTTTTTTTTTTTTGTGTGTGTGTGTGTGGGTGTGGGTGTGGGTGTGGTTGTGGGAGGTGGCGGCCAGGTGTATGTAAGACACTGCCTCTACACATTAGTCCACATCCGTTATCTTATGAAAGGTAGTAGCAAATTAAAATATAGATAGCAATCTGTTCACTAGAATTCTGTCCCCCGTATAAAGATTACAACGTAGCACTATGCTCAAGAATCAAGATAAGTGACCAAAATCAATATCACATCACATGCCAGAATAACCATAAAAAACAACCTGTTTTTTGTATGATAGGCAAAGAAAAAGATTTTACTGTGTTTTATGGCACATTTCTTTATTAAATGAAAAATAAATAAATATACCATGTTGATCTAATTATTAGACTAGAGTAAATAATCAAATACCATTGGAACTTCCAAGTATATTGTCCATGTTGGAAAATATCATATAACCCATCCCCTTGTCAACTACATTTTACCAAATTTTGGAGGGTAAGGGGGTCCATAAGGGTCAATGCTAGACTGTGGTTCATCTTGAAACTATGAGAAAAGGGCTTGCATATAGGAGAATATAACCAAATAAGCAAATCTACATCTACGCATCTGTCCTTTGCAGCATAAATTAAATAAACTTAACCATTTGATTTTTGGACCTGGTAATGTGTAACTAAATGTTTATTAAGAGTACAGGCTGAATCAAAACGAAGAAAGAGTAGTCAGTAGGAAGTCTAGGAATTATGGCATCTAAATACTGTATGCTACACTTCACAGTTTTTTTTTATCTTTCCCCAAAAGTTCGAGCAAACACACACACCCACTTCATATTTTTGCCCCCACCGGGGCTCGAACACTCAGCCTCCCCAAAGGGAGAGGAGAGCTTATACCATCTAGGCTAGAGACCATTGGTGTATGCTACAGTTTATATATAGAAATTCAATCATCACAACATGAAAACGCAACCGTTAATATGAGCCTTTCTGTAAAAAATTAGAATCTATGTGAACGATATTATGAATCCACGTTTCACAATTCTCCCATTCTGATGTTAATCTTGCAATATTAGCATCTTGAACCTGTGGGACAATGCAAAACAGGGGCTACATAATCAGGAAAGAAAAAGAATTATATTAGGTAATGCCTTACAGGAACAGATGAGTACTACCTTAGATCTTGAGGCCGCAGCAGAGGAACCTTTGAATCATCTGTTGTGGTAACTTTTTCACTAGCATCATGAACCGGCCTAAGCGGAGAAGTCAGCATCAATCCATGGTTTGTTTTCGAAGCACGCTTCCAATGAAGTCTCTGCAAAAGTTTTAATCCATTTCATTTATCTCATGGATGGGAGGTTTAGAAATTAAAAGTTCAGGACATGATTAATTGACAATGTTTAAACAAATTTAAATCATGACATACATTAGAAGTCTTTGCAGGGATAAGAGCTTACTATCATATTAGCCAAAGCAATCCCAATAATGTCTCGATTTGTTGCAATTTCAAGGCCTAAAAGTGAATTACTATTTAAGTCTGAGGCCTTTGATCTGGGGTCCTCCACACACCTTCCATTAACAACTCCAAACAAGCTGTGTCCCGAAGTTACCTTGAATAGCTCCTACAATAAGGACAGAACTTATAGGTTTTGAATCTTGTAAGATTAACATAAATTAGGGATTAGCCTGTAGGATATTGAGCTACAATTAGATAAGACATCAGCAATAAATTCAGAAAAGTGGACACTGATATTTAAAATTACAATAATTTATCATAAAAATGATTGCACTGATGATCTTGCAGAATCAACACACCTCAGGGTTCCCTGTTTGGGGCCAAATCAAAAAGTCTTCCCCAACTCGAGATCCCACAATGGTCAGATTAAGTCTTCGACAAACCTCAATATAAATTATGCTAAGTAAAATTGCTGTCAACAAGGTAATCATACATCAGGTGGCATCACTTGTCCATGAATAAAAGAGAGAACATAAAACAATAGAGAAGATATCTTTTAAGCCCCAGTATGGGCTAAACAAGAACAATGCATCTGAGTAAGCTAGATATAGACATATAGCAGAAGCAGGATGAAGCTTACCGCTGCCACATCCACAGCTTAAAACTGAGTGCAGGTAAGAATACTTTGAATCAACAAGCACAGGTGACCTTTTGAAACCTCTCGACTTAAAAAGAACAACATTCACTGCCTCCAGAACTTCAACCAAATGGCAACCTATGTCTCTTGAAACTAACTCCGCCTCGACTTCTTTGGCAATGGCATCCAACTCAGTCAGCCACCCGTTTATACTCTTTCCAGACAAAGGCATCATCTCCAAGCAATCCCAATTTTGGGAATCAGATGGGACCGAAGCATCTCTCCTTTCACTGAAGAGTGAACAAGCATCCATTTCTCGATTGAAGGCCATAAATGCCTCATCCTCAGCTGCAACATACAGCAGAGCCTGCACCATTGCATTTTGGAACAAAACTGAATCTCAGATATACTCTATAGTGATGCCAAAAAAAATGAAGATAATTTTCTATCTGCAGAATCTAAGTACTAAAATACAATATATATGATAAAAAGAAGGAAAAATCCCCCAGATTCTGAAAGCAAGAACATAATAAGAACTACAAAACCAGAAAGTATAAGTATATATTCTTAAACAATAAACAGAATTTGATCCGGGTTAGTATTGATTAGCCAATTGAAAACATCATTAACTTGAAACAAGATGGCAGAGGGATAGAATTACCTTTGAAATGGAGATGTCCTTGTCCTTGGACTGGAAAGATATCTCCTGCGTAAACTTTTCCCTGGCATCCTTTAGAACCTGACAATCATTATGAAATCAGTCAGAACTGCTAATTATAAAGGGTTAATTTCATTACCTGACTACCACCAATTCATGAAGCAAAAATTGATCAGATTACAAATGATTGAGCAAAGCAAGCAACGAGACTAGATAAATTGACAGTATCGAACCATTGTGCAATTATGGATAATTAAGAGAATAAAAATAATGGTTCCAAAGTATAATTCGAACCTCCAGGTATAAGTTGGGACGGGACAAATTCCTTGTCATAGCTAGAGCAGAGGTAGCCGTAGGCGAAAATTTCGACCCCCTCTTTGCCTTTGTTGCGAACTTGTTCTTCTTGGCTTTGCCACTCTCATTCCAGTAACCACGACAATCATAACCATACCTGATGATCGTAAAGAATCAGGCATATATGGGGATTGGCCAGCACAAATTCTTCTCCAACCCACTAATAATTTACATACAAATACAATAAACTAATTATCACTATAAACCCTTTTTCTAGAATTGCAAGAAAAACCAAATTCAATCAACCCTAAACATTTTAAGCACTAGAATTTCAATCGCGATTACCTGAGCCGCCGACAATCACTGTACCTGCAACAATTTGTCAAAAGCGCCGCCATAATTGAACTATTAGTGGTGGTAGTCATCGAATGACTATACAAACTAGGCATTGATACACACAACATTGCTTTCTATGAACACGATGATTCTATTTGGTTAAAAGAAAAGGAAAAGATGAAGACGATGATATAATAATATAGTACAATAGCAACGATTAAAAGAGAGGAGGAGTAGGGGAGAGATAGACAAATGAAATAAATGAACGTGAATCACGCGTCTTCTCCAGCAGACGAAGAAGACTTGACAGTGAAAGGAAAAGGGGTCAATTTGAAGGATGAGGGTTTCGTCATATTAGATTCAACCATCGGTTTGGGCACTGAGACAGCAATTCCAGAATACAAGGAAGACGAAGAAGACGTAGAAGAAGACAAGGAGAAATAGCAAGAAGAGCAAGAATAGTAGTAATGGAAGCTGAAGGTACAAGAAATCCGAAGATCCATAGTATTGGATATGTGAGAATGTCCCAAATGCAGCATTAGCCTATCCAACTCTTTTTTTTTAACTTCTTTTCGCCCTCTATATATATATATATATATTCAAATATATAGAAAGAAAGAGAGTGGCTGGCAGCGCAGAGAAGGAGCACTTGAATAATGATTATAAAGGGTAGCTCCTCCTTCAGAAGTTCGTCTTCCTCTTGATGCGGCTGATGTGGTTACAGAAGGAAGAAGACAGGGGTGACGTCAAAAAGAAAAAGAAATGAGAACCGAGTTGGCGTTTTATACAATAGTAGCTTTATATATATATTGTATATATTTATGAACATTGTATTATTTGTATATATACAATCTATATACGTTTGTGTAAGGAGAGGATAAATATACTTCTTTTTCCTCCTCCCTTCCAAAATTTTTGGACATCTTTGGAATTAATTTAACTTAGTAAGGAAAAAAAAAATAATGCTTTGTTAAGTTTTAAAAATAATAATAATAAAAAATCTTCAAAATTAAAAAGATGCTCGGGAGTTTTGGTTCATTTAATTTTGAGATATAAATTTTATAATACATATTTATCTTCATTGCATATGGTATACACAAGGAATGGTGAAGATTACTCCGCAGAAAGTGTGATGACCGCGCCTGTGGGGGTGCTCTCCATCTTTGGATGTGTGTTTTGCACATGATGTCCACACTGCAAGGGTGTAAACAGACGTCAATATAGTAGCTTCGACGAGGACTGCTGATGCAGTTGCATGCGCCAGTATAACATTTCTCATTGGTTAAAAAATTAATCATAAAAGGTATAATTAATATATCTTTTCTATTTTAACGAAACATTAAAACTTACCAAATTAATTTTTAAATTCTTACATCTTAATTTTTTTCGTTTGTATATATACATACATGTATATAATTTCATTATTTATTTTTTGATATAATTGTACAGAATTGTTCTCTTACTCCCTGGTGTGCAAAAAAATAAATAAATATATATATATATATACATATATATGGTTATATAAATATTTGTGCTCAAGTTGATGGAATCTTTAATTTTCATCATTATTAAATTTTAATTGAAGTAATATTATGAGATTGAGTTCTAATTGAATTAAAATTGTAGAATTTGAGTTTTAGTTAAAGTATAAAAGAAAAATAAGAATGGTTTTATAATTCATACATGATATGGTTAACTATATATATATATATAAACAATTAAAAGGAAAGAATTGAAAAAAAAAAAAAAATCTTTTGTTTTTTTTTTTTCTTCTTTCCATTCATATAATATTTAACGCTGACAACACACACACACACATGCATATAAACAGTTAAGAACCATAAAAAATAAATGAAATAAAGAAGGAAGGTAATATACATGTAACAAATGAAAAAAGGAATATTATATATGCGTATGTCATGAAAGGAAAATGTTAATTTGTAAAGGTTAATTTGGTCCTAAAATTTTAAGGTTTAAAGTCCAATAAAAATAGGAAAGATGCATTAATTATAAATGTTATGATTAATTTTTCAACCAATTATGCGACTCTAGCTACCAATCCTCTTCATATAAATATTAAAAATATTATTATGTGCACAAACTATCAAAGAATTTTTATTTTTTATTTTTTCAAATTCAAGCAAATCAAAACACATCAATATTATTGCTCCTATTAAACAATGATACATTCTTCAAAGAATGCTAATGGGATTTTGTGTGAGTGAGGAGGATGTGAACTTCACCATATAACATCACTCCGATATTATGTGATCGGACTCTTATTTCCAAACTAGTATGGACCTATTTTTACATATATATGATTTTTTATATATATAATGTCCCCTACAACTGTTAATTTCTAAAATTATCTCTCTCTCTCTTTTTATTTTTATTTTATTTTTTTACTCTTCAAAATCCTTTGATTTCGTAAAAAAAAAATTAAATTTCATTTCTTGAATCAAAGTCTAATTTTTTTTTTTTTTTTTTTTTTATCTCAAAGTTCTCATTTTCTTTCTTTTTCTTCTATTTTTTCCTACTTAAAAATTTTCTCTCTGCACTTACATATAATATATATATATATATAATATCTAATTTTTTCAACGAAAATATTACTAAACAATATTTTAGTTCTTATATTTCGTTTACTGCTCATTCATCTAGCATATTGTTTTGCATTAAATTTTTTTTTTTTTTCACACTACACCCCGTAATGAATTAAAATATTGATTTCGCCCCTGTTCTTACTCACATATTCCCCCTTTGACATATTATCATTATTTTAGCGCTCTCTAACAAAGCTCAAATACGCAACATTCCTTTTAGAATATCATCTTTTCAACTAAATTTTCAAGAATTTGGTAATTAAACAAAATTTCAAATTATTTTTGCTTTTTAAATTTTGTGAAATCATAAAAATTTTATTTTATACCACTGTATTTATTAAAAACGATGGAGGAGGTATTTTTGTATGGATTGTACTGAGGAGCAAATTTAGAAAAGTAAGATGATTTCAACTTTGTATTTACATTTCAAAATCCTTCAGCTCGTTAAGTACTCTCCAACCACCCCCTTGAAGGCCATTTCGAACTCTCAGTTCACGCGAAAGAAAAAAAAAAACTCTCAGTTCACAGTCACACGATCTAATCCTATGAACAGTACTATAGTAGTACTTTTAAAATATATATATAATAATAATTTCTTTCTCAAACATTTTGAATGAAGAAGATGTGAAAAGCTTTTCTTTTTAAAATAATGTGCTAAAAAAAATGTCATAATTGAGGTTTTGAATAAGATAAAATTTTAAAATTTTTCATTTTAAAATTTTTAATATTGAAAAAGTAAAATGAATGAGAGAAGGATAATAATTTCATTTATTTTGCTTTCACTTTTCAAGACAGGTAACCTAATGATTACATTTATTTTACTTTCATTTTTCAAAACAAGCAAGTTAATGGTTACATTTATTTTGCTTTCACTTTTCAAAACAGGTAATTAAGTGATTACATTAAATTTTTTTTTTTTTCCTTTGACCTTTTCAAAACAGGTAATTAAGTATTTTAGAACAACAAAAATATATATATATACTAGTAGTATTGATGACTTAACTTTCCTGCAATAAAGTTACCGTAAAACAATATTGCCTGGGTATAGTAGCTCTCACTTCTTGACGGGAGGGGACATCAAAGGATGAGTATTTTAATTTGTTTGACAATAATATTGCAGAACACTTCTATTACTAATTTGCTAATTTTACAATACTGTTTTTTTATATAATCCTATGTTACTATATGTAATAGAGTAATAATAGGATTCTATAAAAGAATGAATAATTTGTTTTTATAAAAAATAAAAAGAGATTAAATTAGGCTGTTATAAAAACTAATTAATTTAATTTCGTTTAAAAACTTTACTAAATTAAAATCTTTTACTATTTCAAAAAAGTAATGAACAAATTTAAAATTAAAATTCTTAATAAAAAAAGTATTAGTGGTCATATATGGTAAATATCATATGACCACTAGAGAATATATTATGGGAGTGAGTGGTGTGATGATGATAAGATTGATTTGGTGATGCGGGCCAAGTTCTGGAAGGAGGTCCACTTGACGTTTGCTTGTTTGCCCCATTGTCCCACACCGTCCCTTTTCATATTGAAATGATTAGCTTGCGTGACCAGAAGTAGAGCATTTCCGGCATAAAACAATTCGTTTTCTTTCCTCTTTACTAGGTCTTATCAATTAGCTTCATTCATTGGATATACGCAACATTCAATCTCTCTCTCTCTCTCTCTCTCTCTCTCTCTCTCTCTCTCTCTCTCAATAATATGGCTAGAATATAATGGTCTATCCCATATATATATTTTTTTACATTTTGAAGGATGATTGTAATTCTAAGAACCATATTGAATATGCCATATTCCACTTATCTTGGATCTAATTAATTTCAATGCGTCCACTTCTCAGCTCAAGTCCTACGTATGTGTGCTAGCCAGATGGATAAGGTATGGGACTGGGATCACAAGAGCACATTCCCACGGATGATGGGTCCCCCTCTTCCTCTCTTTTTTATTCAAGGAATACATATAAGAGTAGAGTGCACCACAATGCATCTTTTAGTGGCCAAATTGCACCAAACACCTATGTGATATAAAAAAGTTACAAAATATTTTCCTTTATTATTAGAGAAGTGATAGATCTTCCGACTTTAATTGTCGACTATTCCTCTGAATATAACATGGTTGGGAATGAGTCGACGAGAAAGAGATGTTTACGGGAATTTTTTTAAGAATTCGTCAATTAACGTCGGAAGACCTATCATTTTTCTTATTATTATTATCATTTAACAAGTAATACTCTCAATTTATCAAAAGTTATAAATTATTCTCTCTAATAAACAATAAAATTCTAGTGTTAATATAGTCATGTGCGACACCCGAGTTAATTGTTTTGACAAAAATGCTCATGTCAAATTTACTATTATATAATTAATTTTACAAATAAAAAGTTGAGGATGTTTCTTACATGCATGCGTAAAGATATTCTAGTGTAAACAATTAGCTCGTGTGTGATGCATGTTACACATGGTTTACCTTTAACACCATAATTTCAAGGTTATGCTGTCAAAGGGGGCGATTTGTCATTTTTAATAAATTGTGGGTTTTTGTTGTCAGAAAAAAATAATATAAGGACTATTTTACAAGTTTTTGGTGGTAGTGCAATTTGTCATGTTTTAGTAATTAATCCCCTGAACTAATTGTTTTGCAATTAACTCCTCCTATTATCATGCGAGTCATGTGACATGTATATTTTCTATAATATCAAAATTATCATTTTGTTGACTACGGTATTAGTACTTTTCTTCACAAAATTTCAACCAATAAAATTAGGACGCGTCTATCCTAATCTCTACCCCAATGCCACCAGAGACAACACCTACTTTGTCTGCCCTTCCCACCACTCCTTTCTTAAAAGGACCACCGACTTGATTTGGCCTCAATTTCTCTGAGTTGGGTAATTGTTATCCGAACCTAATTTTTTTATATTTATTTTTAATTTTTTTATTAAAAAAATCACTGCTACCGCTCCATTGGGTTAGGTTGTATTAACATTTTCTCATTTTCTCTCCAAGGAGGAGGAGAGGGTTCGAATTCCAAATTTAACAAAATTGTGTGAGCTGTTTACTTAACTATTAAAAAAATAACAAATAACAAATAACAAATAACTATTTTAGTAATTAATTATATAAAATAAAAAAATCTCTTATATTATACTATAGCAATTACTTATGGCATGCCATCCAACATAGTTACCCCAAGTATGCCACATAACAGTTAGGGCTGCACATAAGCAGGCCAAGACTGAAACAACCTGATCCATTATCAGGGACAAATTAAAGGCCGTCTAAGGTCCACCCAATAACCGTAATACCTAAGTAGAACTCGTTTTCATGGGCTTGCTGGTCTACAAGATGACCCCACCAAATCTGTAGCGCACCATCCCAAGCCCAGACGGCTGGCCCGTGCGGGCCTGGGTCCAAAACCGCGGGTCAAATTGACTCATTATGCACCCTAAAAACTCTATTATTAGAAGTTTAATTCCACCTCAGATTTGGATGCAGAGGATTTTCTGAGTATGCAATACCACCTTCATAATAAGTGTCTGCAATCCTAATCGGGTGTCATGTTAAGTTTCCACTCTAGCAGTGTTTTGCATTTTTCGATACAATGCATATTTAGTGCATCTAAGAGTTTAAATTTTTGAATTTGCGAAAGATTCTTTGGACTCTTCTAAAGAGTTGGTACACAAATATTACAATTATTCAAGAAATAAAAGATTTTGATAAACTTGAACTTGATGAATTCCATGACTCACTATCGACACATGAGATCACAATGAAAAATCAAGGAGCCATTCAAAAGAAAGGACTTGCTTTTCATGCAACCTGTTACGCTATGCAAAAAAATAAATAAAATACTGTAATAAATATAATAATACTATTACAAATGTATTCCCTCACACCCCACCACCACTGGCTGATCCAGCGTAGGGCTGGGCTGGGCTGGGCTCCAGTCTACCCCAATTTTTTTTTTATTTTTATTTTTTATTACTACGGGTATTTTTAGCCCAGCCCAAAAAAAAAAATTATTATTAATATTAGCCTACTCAAATAAGCCCAAGTCAGTTAAGTCACAATACTAAAATAAAGGCCAAAGATAAATTCATAATTTCAACACATTCAAATCATCATGAAAAAAAAAAACAGAGCTCTTGTGTTTATCTAGAAAGTATTCAACAAACAAACAAAAAAATCTATTGCATTATAAACTACCAAATTTTGATAATTTTGATCTCTAAGTAGACAAGGAGTATTAGTATAAAAGAAAATATCTAAATCCAATAATTCACAAATCAAAGGTTACTAACTTACTATACATTTAGATAAAACAAATATAGATGGGTAAGTGTTAGAATTTCAAATTGATTTACAAAATAAAGCCACAAACAAAAATTACAATAATTCAATCTTTAAAACCAAAAAAACCAAATATGAAACGTGTTAAAACATAACACGATGGGAGATGAATTTCTTACTGATTGCATGACCGGTACCTTGTTTGAAATATCGACTTGGAGTTTATTATCGACGAATTCGATTCTTTAAAGACTCATCGAGTACAACTTAGATAGATATTTTATAATATTTGAATTCAAATATTTATTTAGATTATGTTATAAAAAAATTTACTTAAAAATTTATGTTATTAAATTTTTATTTAATTTTAGTCTACCACACTGACTATTTCTGGATCCGCCCTTGCCCACCACCACTTTCTCTCTCTCTCTCTCTCTCTCAAAGGATATGCTCTGACCCCAATTTGTTTAAGTCCATGTTGTCCCCCGTTGAGTATATATTAGTCCAATGTTAATTGTGAATTTTAACCGAATATAATAAATTAATGTTTATTCCATTCTAATTCTAAACCACGAATCAAAAAGCAGAAAAATAAATTAATAATTGTTTGGCCGATCATTTCAATGGTAAAAAATAAACTTAGTTGTGAAATTCAACTGAATAGCATGTGTTAGGCTAATAAGCATTTTAGATGCTGGGCTATATATAGCACAACTCATCGAAGCAATATCAGCTAATTCTATATATTAAAATTTGGAAACCACTAATTTCTTAAAATATTGTATCTGGCTCATCAAACAACCCTTGAAACGCCACGCGCGACCACCATCGGTCATGGTGTCCCACGTGTCGCTAAATATAATCACTCGAGGACGATCACTTTTGGCCTTTTCTCATCACTTTTTCAGTTTTTCCTTAAAAAAAGTCGAGATTTCTGTGATACTGTTCTTGCTCACTCACCATTCCACCAATACAGCATAAATAATTCTACATAATAATAATCTAATTAATCACTACTAATCATACTGTGTGGTTCACAAATATTTTATATCATTATTATTGAAACTAAATCAACCAAATCAAATGAAAGAATCTTTATTATTGAGTAGCAAAGCAAGTGAAACTTTGAAAGTATCGCTCAGTCTTCATCAGTTCACTCACGGCCAAGCTTATTCTAGCTTTTCTAGCAATAGGGTTTTAAATGGATCATCAAAAGTGATAGTGAAGTTGAAGAAGCTCAAGTCATCGCATTGTACAGTATCATCCTCTCTGTTTCATTCAATCAGGTGTCAGGTCTACTTCTGTAATGGTTTAATTGACTTCTAATTGTTTCAATCATATGGGAAGTATGTCTATTACAGATGTTTTCAATCATATGTGATGTCGGGTATTTGCGATTTCATGGTTATGATCAGAGTAACGATGCGTTGATTTGGTAATTGGTACTGATTGTATGAAGGTGTTTAAATTTGTTGATATACGTTTTATGCACATTTTGTGTGTGTGCAGGAACTGTCTAGTATAATTGTTCAACAAATGGGTTTGATTGCGTTTGCAGATTTTAGAAAGAGGTGATATCAAGTCATGTTGTTTGGATGCGTGTTAGTCTGTTAGATGTTTGGGGTTTGGTTCCACTTACAGATTGTGATATGTTTCTGAATAAATATTACGTGAAATTCTTTGGTGTTATTTGATCATTTAATAGAGTTACACATGTTTGGAGAAATGCCTCATATGAATTTTTGGCATGCAGAAAAAAGAGGCTTAACACGAGGTCGATTGGCGAGAGGTTGGTAGTATCTAAGATGGGTGGATATCAAGGGAAGGCGGTGACTGCAGATGTGGATTCCGGAAACATGATTTTCGAGCCTATTCTGGAGGAAGGGGTCTTTAGGTTTGATTGTTCTGCAGATGATAGAAATGGAGCATTTCCAAGTATTTCTTTTGTTGATCCCAAAGTTAGAGATACACCAATTATGAGTAGTCACCAAGTTCCCTCATTTATCCCTACTTTTGAATGTGTTCTTGGACAACAACTTGTTAATATTGAGGTTGGTTGAGCAGTGGGCCTAGTTTCCCCTTCGCATATCCTACTTCGGTACTTCCTATGTATTTCTTTGACATGATGGAATTTTGGTTTTGGTTTTGGTTTAGCTTCCACCCGGCACCTCATTCTATGGAACAGGAGAAGTTAGTGGTCAGCTTGAACGGACGGGGAAAAGAGTAAGTCATTTAGTCTGGGTTTGTCGCCAATGAAAATTTGTTCATGTTCTCCATGTGCTAAGCAATTCCGTGGTACTCAGGTTTTTACATGGAACACAGATGCATGGGGTTATGGTCCTGGAACTACCTCCTTGTACCAATCACATCCTTGGGTGCTTGCTGTTCTTCCAAATGGAGAGGCACTAGGGGTTCTTGCTGATACAACACGACGGTGCGAGGTACTTTTGATTTTTGATTTATGTTATATATTCAATCAACAAATTGATAGTTATTTTACCTGATGACATTTTTATGTTTGACCAGATTGATTTGAGGAAAGAATCAACTATTAAGGTTATAGCCCCGTCATCGTATCCCGTCATTACCTTTGGTCCATTTACTTTGCCAACTGATGTTTTGATATCTTTATCTCATGCGATAGGTAATGTGCTAGAGTGGTTTATGTTTTGTTCCTTAAATCTACAGTTTAACTTATTTCGATAATTCTATTTGACTCTAAATATTTGTTATCTCATTTACCATGTAGACAGTAAGGAGAGATATTATGCATTCTTGATTCTTAGGCTTTGAGTTTTTGTAGAGACAGTAATCATTATACTATTTCTGTGACAAATCTTTCATTTTTTAGGGATTCATCTGATGTCAAGCTTCATTGTAGTTTTGAGGATTCTGTCATAGTGAAAATTCCTGCAAGTAATTAAGTAAATCAGCACCAACAGTGAACTTTACAATAGGAGAATGACAAAAAGAAAAGAGAATTCAGTGTAGTGGATTAAAGCAATAGTTGAGAAGAAGAATCTGTTTCTATTTACCAGCTCAAAGAAAATATGATAGAAAAGAAGAATCAGTTTTTAATTATGCTTTATATTAGAAATTTAAGATTCCAACTTTATAATAGAGTAAAATGCATCCATCCCTATTTCCGTTATGAACTCATTAGGCACTTCTTGGATTATCTTCTGTTACTTATGAAGCTGCTAAAATGTTTTATTCTTAAAGTGGAGGATATGTTCAGGCCAAGGGAGTTAGCATAACAATGAGTTTCACATGATATGAGCAACACCTCTCTTTTTTTTTTCCTTTTGGCTACCAAGTATCACAAATTTATTAGAAAAAAGAGAGGTGTGAGGAGGATGAGAAATTACATTTGTAGAAAATGAATGAAAGGACTAGGCATCAAGAACATGCACAAACATGGCTAAACACACAAACATATCAAAGTTAGCATCCTTGTGTGTATACTCATTAATATTAGGACCGAGGCCAGAATATTTAAATCAGTTTCTTTCCTGTTGTATTTTTTAAAATGTTTTTATGATGTACTGGGCACTGTAAAAATGCTGCCTGATCTTGTGTTTGAGATTTGGTGTTTGTATTTGAAGGTTAAATAAAAAGCAACTGGATTACAGAATATATGGTTATATGTGATATATGAATATTAATTTATAAATGAGCAGTCTTTTGATAACATCGTGTTGTTAGTCTTTTAATAACATTCTGTTGTTACTGCACCCCATATGGTTCACATGGTATGAATGAATTTTCTCATCAGGAACTGTATTCATGCCTCCAAAGTGGTCACTTGGCTATCACCAATGCCGTTGGAGCTATGATTCTCATTCACGAGTTCGTGAGGTAAATTCTTCATGTCATGTCCAATTGATGCTAGAATTTTTCTTTACTCTCTCTTTTTATGTGTTTATATTGATCTCATTCCTGTGCTATACCTTCTTTTCTTTTGTTATGATCCTATGAAAAAGAAACACAACTGATGTAATGTCTGAGAATATATATTAACTTGGTCTATGGTTCTTTACTGGGTAAAAGCTGATTCCTATCCATTTTTAATTGCAGAATTCATTTGCCTATTGTTTCCCTCTGTAATCCTTTCTGTTCTTTTTAAACATTGCATGCCTTGTATTTCCATTCATTTACCCATTCACATGTGCAGATTGCCAAAACATTTCGGGAGAAGGGTATACCTTGTGATGTCATATGGATGGACATTGACTACATGGATGGTTTTCGTTGCTTCACTTTTGACCAGGCATGTTCTCCTTCTATAACATTTATTATATATCCATGGTACCAAAACTTTCACAAGGATGATTCAGTGGTATATTACTTGGGTTGCTATTCAGTCCGTTGTTAGACACACCAAACAAGTCAATTTGTTTCTTCACTTTCTTAGTTCTGTTAGACTGGAAATGACTGAATATACATCCCTTATGTGCACGGGAAATAATATATAGGCTGTTTTTTGCAAGCCACTTGTGTGCATCATGAATTAATAATTAATTTAAGTCTCTGTTGGTACATGTGAACTTTGTGGGTGTGTGTCTGTAAATACGTGCCTCTCATGGAAAAATCCAGTGTTGACAGATTTTGAGGAGCTTCCATTTCTATCCTCAAATTCTTAGTCAGACACTTTTCCATCTCACTAAGCTCAGTAAAGCCTTTTCCAACTATTTGGGTCGGCTATATGAACCTTGTTCTACTATTCCGATCTATGTAAGGTCATAACCTTAGTTAACCACACAACACACGCTATTATATCTCTCCTAATTATCTGACTTATCAAAAAAAAATATCTCTCCTAACTATCTCATCCGATGTTAATTTTGATCTTGCTCTTTTCCTACCATTATCATTAATAAGGTTCATTTCACCTTTCACAAGAGGTGAAGTTATTGGCTTTTGAAATAACACAAAAAAAAAAAAAAAAAAAAAAATGACTGTTGCTGCACATGGCTGAACCATCTTAATCATCTCTCTCATTTTTATCTCCATTAGTGTTGCTTCAACCATCCCACAGTGTGTTCATTTTAAAATCCTTTTTTTTTTTTTTTTTTTTTTTGTCTTGCCAAACATTCATCTTAATATTTGCATTTTTGCTACCCTCATTTTATGAATATAATTTGTTTCTTAGCTGCTCAACATTCTGCTTTATAGAGTATGGTTGGTCTTATAGCTGTTTTATAAAATTGATTTCAGTTTTAGAGGTATACGCCGGTCACACAATATGCCAGAAGCACTTATCTATTTAAGTCACCCGCTTTAATTTTCTAATTAATATTGTATATAATTTCTCCCTCTTTATGCATAATTGAGTTTAGGTAACGAAAATGTTTGTGTTTTGGTATTTTTGTATTTTGGACTCTTGATCTTCACTACATCCTCAACATCCTTATTGGTATTTCTAGTTTTACTCTTATTACATTCCATATTTTCAGTTTTAGTTCTACTTATCTTGAACACTCTTAAAACCTCTAATTTAGCTAAAATTGGATGTATTAAATATTGGAAAATATTTTTTGAAATTCACAGAAAAAGCTAGGGGTTTTGTTCTACAATGGAGGGTAAAGTGAAGTTAGTCTATGATAAAGGATTAGTGTTTTGGGGTTAAAAATAAGGGTATCTTTAGTGTTGTTTTTGTTGTTAATAGTGTACATTAGTGTTACAATAAAAAAAATGCATCTGGTACTCTCACATAGAAGTAATGGAGTCTCACCATTGAAAGAGTGCAAAATTTGTGGAGTATTCTTATTGATGAAACTCATCGAATCATTTCTACAACATTTACTTATGTGGTGGCATTGGTATCTGATCTGCAGTTGCTAGCAACATGAGGTTCCTAACTTAGTTTCATTGTTTGCTAAACAAAGAATTTTAACACCTTTAACTTGGACTCAACACAAAGATTCAACACAACAAAGGAATGTTTTCCTCTCATGGATTGTTTTCTTTACCTCTCTGGACCAGAAAAATTAGTGCGAACTGTTTTGATGATTTCAGATTGGTTTGAGTTGGGGCTACCTCTTGTGGCTAACATGTTGTTATGACTTCATTAGCAATTTGATATTGGTGACTCAATTTTCAAAATTGAGTTTTTTCTGTTACATATTCATACAATGCTTTTATGTACATGCATGGAATAATAATTTATGTACATCTGTTACTCATTATCATTAACACTTTTAACTATAGAGGCAGAAGTAAGAAATAACATACATATTCTTAGTTCAACTTGTCATTCGCTTGTATGTCTTGTGTTATGTTGACAGTTATATGGAAATCGCTTCGTTGTCTTATAGAAAATCAACACCTTTTTATTATTACTGACATGGACAAGTAACTATTATGATTTCTCTCAGGAGCGTTTTCCAGATCCTAACTCTTTGGTGAAAGATCTTCATCTTAATGGTTTCAAAGCAATCTGGATGCTTGACCCAGGGATCAAACATGAAGAGGGTTATTCTGTTTATGACACTGGTTCTGAAAGAGACATCTGGATTCAAGCAGCAGATGGAAGGCCTTTTGTTGGTAAAACTCCTTTTGCATCTAAAATTTCACTTTACCCTCTTTTATTTATTTATTTTTTTGTAAGTTTGTTAAGTTTTACCTTTCTATCATTAGGGGATGTATGGCCCGGGCCTTGTGTTTTTCCCGACTTTACACAATCAAAAGCTCGTTCTTGGTGGGCTAGTCTAGTAAAAGATTTCATTACTAATGGTGTTGATGGTATATGGAATGATATGAATGAACCAGCTGTTTTCAAGGTGATGCTCAAAATTTTCTCTTGCTGGCAAAATTTTTTGTTGGTTCTTAGTCACTGTTTTTTTTTTTCTTCCCAGGCTGTAACGAAGACAATGCCTGAGGGCAATGTTCACAGGGGAGATTCTGAACTTGGAGGCTATCAGAATCACACACACTATCACAATGTAATATTTTTAAAACTCTAGTTTGTGCTTTTCATGTTACATTTTTATTTACAAACTTTAAGTTTCAATCGTATGCTTCTGTACATAATTCTCTGCATCGTTATGCGACCCACCTCTCCACGTTTATACTAAATGGTCATGTACATGGCACATTGTGTCCCACCGCGTGGCATCAGTGCACCACCAAAAAGACTTACTTATCATTGTACCAGCATATCGCATGACATTTTTCAGAAGGACAATTCTCCATCCAAGACGTGGATGCATCCCCGTAAAACATGTGGTCCTCTGCATGGTTAGCCCAATCCACTAGGATCTCTAGATCTGATGTATAATGGCTCTATCACCCACAAAGATTGACACTTCGGTTTGCTTGATTTCAAGCCAGCAATTGAAATGATGTACTGGTTTAAGAATTTTACTTCATTGTTATGGATGTGCTACACTTCAATAAGCTTCTGAACTTCGCTATATATATATATTAGGTTTATGGCATGCTGATGGCAAGATCAACATATGAAGGGATGAAATTGGCTAATGAAGATAAGCGTCCTTTTGTTCTCACCAGAGCTGGGTTTGTAGGTAGTCAAAGGTATGCTGCAACATGGACCGGAGACAATCTTTCTACTTGGGAGCACCTTCATATGAGTATCTCCATGGTTCTTCAACTGGTAAGTGGTTTGAGGATTTTGTATTGTTTGACAAAAACATTCGATTTTGTTCCTCTCGGTCTTTTTTTTTTCCAGTTTTGCTGTTATCACTAGCTTCCTACCTTCCCGGTCCTCTTACCCTCGTACATCTTTTACTGCGGAAGGCTTGGACTGCACCAAATTGTCTTATATTTAGTTAAAACTTTAAAGTAATCTAGTTATATTAGTTGAGGCATGGTACAGAACAAGTGATGCATGAGAAAGCACTTTATCCTATTACATACCTTGGTGATGTAATAATAATAGAATTAACTTTTTTGGGGTGCATGCGTGTGTGTGTGAGAAAGAGAGAGAGCTCTATAATATTTTTACACATGTGATTTATATTTTATACATACATACAACATATATAATAGGGTAAAGTGCAAAAACACCCCTATTATATACAGAATGTGCAAAAAAAACCCCTACAATTTTCAAATTGAGCAAATAAGGACCTTTTCTCAATTTGAAGATTGAAATACCTAAAATGCCCTTAAAGCAAAATAAAAAAATAATAAAAAATACTTATATGCACAAATTTTATTGAGGGTATTTTGGGGTCTATAAAAAAATTTGGTCAAAATTGATGATCAGGGGGCAATTTGCTACAAATTTTCACATTATAGGGATTTATATGCACATAATAAATAGCAGGGGTGTTTATTACACATTTTTTATATAGAAAGGGTTTTTTTGCACTTTACGTTGTACAATATTCATGTTAATAATTTATTTATTCATAGAATATTAGGAATTTTCCTTTTTGCCTTGGATTTGAGTTACCAGGCATATATATATATATATATATATATATATATTTTGATAAGTAATAATTAAATAAAAAGGCGTTCAAGAGGGGAACACGTCCCTTATACAATATATATATATATATATATATATATTGTTTCCAGAAATCCTTGAAATATCACTGGAAAAGGTATGTATTATCTTTTATCCTTTTGGCCTTAAAACTTACTTTTCATAGCTGGAGAAAATTTAATACTTAGTTTTAGTTAACAAATCTACTGGTACTTCAATTATTAATTCTTAATGAAATCCAGAAGTTGTGCTAATTTGACTTGTAAATTAAACTGTTTTTGCTGGAAAAAATGAGAACTCAAATAACAATTGGAAGATTGCTTTCTAGAAGTCTCATACTAATCGAATATGGTATATAGAGCATATGTTTCTAAAAAGAAAAAATAAAATATGCTAGTTTACTTAGTTGAGAATATTTTCTTATATGCACGTGCAAAGTAAACCCAAATTTATGAAAAGCACATGATACCTTGAGTATAGACGTAATCCTTACTTTCCAGGACTACCTCAAAATTATCATTCAGTTACATCTATATGATGACTACATCTGTGTCTCATTGTACTTCATTTGAGCTTTTCTGGTCTCACTCTTAACTCTTAAAACAAAACCTCGGTAGATCCCTCTCTAATGTTTCCAATCCAACTTAAGCCAGTAGCAACTGTGGATCTCTATCTCCTCTCCCAACTTTTAATTGTCATTTGTGAATGAGATCTGCTTACGGTCTTTATAGATCTACCATCAAGTGACAATCTTATGCAAGATCTAACCTGAATCTAGTAAAAAAATGAAACTAAAAGAAAAAAACGAATTGAAACTTATCTATTAAAAAATTCCATGCTTTTGATGTAAGATATATATATATATATATATATATTCATTTCGTGTACTATCATTATGAGTGTTATTTGGTTTAAATTGTAATAAATGAGTTGCAGAAATGAGGTTTACGAATCTCACTTTTCAAAACTATAATATAATGGCTGTTACAAAGTCATAAATGCCAATATGACTGATTTTTAGTAAGACCGAAATATTGGTCTGTAATGGCATTGCCTTATGTGATGGCTTTAAATGACAGTAACAGTGTACTGTTGGCATTTGAGTTGCATTGAGCGTATCCATGATGATCGTACATCATTTTGAGTTAATTTGGGATTTCAGTGAATATGATCTTTGGATTAGAGTTTTTATTGTGGTGGGCCGGCCTTATGTTTCTGGGGCTTAGCTTATTTTGCATATAGTAGTATAGATTATTCGGCCTGAGAACTCTCTCTCTCTCTCTCTATTTTATTTTATTCTTTGAAAAATTAAATATGTGGGTGTCTAATTTACCAAAAATGACATGAAAATGGCGAAGGAATTTGCAGCCAAACTAACTGATGCTTAGGATTAATTGAGACTGTTGATCAACTTCAATAACAGAAAATGAACGCACCAACTATCCATACTCTGCGAACATTTTGGTTAAAAACATTTGGTGTTTGCAATTCATTTCCCATTTTGAAGATGGATGAATATTATTTTTTGTACGAGCAACCGTAGTGTGAAGACTAGGATTCTTCATTCTGTATTGTTTTTCTCTTGCTTTTGAACAACTAGCATTATTTATTGTAAACTACTTTTTTATTTTATGGAAGGAAGTTAAGATTTATGGAAGGTTCAGTAACGAAATAAAGAAGCTTCCTGTTCTGCTTTCCTAATATAATTTGTTGTTCTGACAAAGATCCAGTTTATATTCAGGGACTAAGTGGTCAGCCACTTACAGGACCGGATATTGGTGGGTTTGCTGGAAATGCAACAGCCAAGCTGTTTGGAAGGTGGATGGGAGTGGGTGCCATGTTTCCTTTTTGTCGTGGGCATTCTGAAATGGACACCATTGACCACGAGCCTTGGTCTTTTGGGCCAGAGGTTTGTACTCACCTTATTTGGACAACAACTATTTTACTGCCTCCAACTTGTGGTTTGGATCTGATTGTTGCCTTTTAATCAAATGATTTTTGGCAATTTGACGTACCACTTCAAGCATTTGTCGGATACCATAAGCTATTGTTGGAACTTTCCTTGAAAGAACTGAGAATGCTTTGCATGTATGTTTCTACTTATGAGTTCCATAATGTTTTAACTGTAGAACAAGAGTTTTCAGAGACAATCACACCATACTTTGACATCAGAGTAGTGTCTTTCATTTTATAGAATATATTTTCTGTTTCATATCCATTCTCGATAGTGATGTTTGCTGCAAAAATTGGTTTGAACACCATTGTTTGAATAGTTGTTTAGATATGAGGTTTCCCCTTTATCATGGAGGCTAACTGATGCCATTGTTGGTTATAAAAGAGGCAAAATGAACTGCAAAAAACTATGTTCATTCTTGTCCCAAGAACAAAATTAATGTTGATTTTTTGTTGTTGTCTGCTCAGAACTCCTGTTATTCTTATTAGAAGTATGCTAAGGTGATGTTTTTATGTCTTTTTTTATTCATCTTGAATAAAATCTTGTTTGAGGCTTAATCGAGTGTAGATTACTTGTTGCTGAGGCTGCTCAGTAAGCTTGCATCTTTCGACATGGTTCAGTTTTGTTTAAGAATGTTCAGAATCGAGAGAGAGAGAGAGAGAGAGAGCAAAACACAAATACTGTATATTCAACACAATAACCTAATAAGCCTGTGTAGGCTTATATATAAAGGGTACAAGTCTTGCATAATAGCACAAGGGTCCTATTAACTAATGTGGAAAAATACCTCCTTGATTAGTGGTAGGTTAGCACTAGAAATGTGTAAATATTTGTTTCCTAAAGTTTAGGGATTTGTGTAAATATTTGTTTCCTAGAGTTTAGGGATTTAATTGATAGAGAATCAGGGATTCCTGATTATAGGGATTTCAAAATTAAGTTAGTTGCTGATTTTTCTCTTTGTAATTTCTTATATATAGCCCAACAGAGGCTCTTGTAAAATTAATTAACAGATTCAATATAATTGAATTCATTTCTCCACATGGTATCAGAGCTTTAAGGCTTGGATTTCCTAAAGGAAAAAAAAATTCAGCGTTTTTATTTATTTTTTATTTTTTCTGTTCAGGCCTTCATAGCCAATTTTCTTTGTGACTTGCTTCATCGCAGTCATTCTCTAGCAATTTCTTTTGCCAATTTTCGCATAACCCTTCTGTCCGGCCTTCATAGCCGATTGTTGAAGAACGTCAGAAACTACTGTTCAACCATCCCAATCACCCGAGGAAGAGCAGGTTCAGCGCCCCACAAGTGAACTGCAGAATATTCAACCGGCGTACCGACTTAATGGAAGGAACTACTTGAAATGGTCTCAATTGGTTCGAACTTTTTTGAAAGGAAAAGGGAAACTAAGTCACTTGCTGGGAACGGGACCAAAGAAAGTTGAGGCAGGTTTCGAAGCGTGGGACGAGGAGGACTCAATGGTCATGTCCTGGTTGTGGAATTCCATGACACCTGAAATCAGCGATACATGTATGTTCCTACCAACTGCGAAGGCCATCTGGGACGCTCTCAACCAAACTTACTCCAAGGTTCGTGATGCGGCGCAAGTATACGAGATCAAGACAAAGACAACGTCTACAAAACAGGGGAACAAGTCCATGACTGAGTATGCCAATTTTCTGCAAACTAGTGGCAAGAACTGGATTACTATCGGGTGATTGATTTGAAGTGCAGCGAATGCGCTGTAATTATCAAAAATTTCATTGAAAAAGATCGAGTTTATGATTTTCTCGCTAGCCTAAACTTTGAATTTGATCAAGTCAGAATTCAAAATTTGGGCAAGGAGGACGTACCATCTCTTAATGAGGTGATTTCATTGATTCGGGCTGAAGAGAGTCGGAGAGGAATCATGCTTGAACCTCAGTCGATTGACAGCTCAGCACTCGTAGTCTCTGGTGACAACAAGCGTGGTTTCACTCTAGAACAACCGCAAAAAGCTGAACATGGAAATGCGGAATTATTAAAGGGGGCAAACCGAGATAATCTTTGGTGTACATACTGTAAAAAGTCGCGACATACCAGGGATCGTTGCTGGAAATTACACGGGAAACCACCCACATCCAGCCGAGAATGGGGAAACAAAGGAGGACAGCAACAACGACAACAAGGACAAGCCTATATGACCTCACAGATGGGTCAGGACCAGGCAAAAGAATATGGAGGATTCGACAGTGAAGAAATAGAGAAGTTAAGAAATCTGCTGGGAACCCTTGAGAAACGATCTTCTGGTGCTTGTTCTTTAGCCCTCTCAGGTGAGTCTTTATTCTCCCTTGGGATTAAATGTTTCTGATAAATTGTTTGTGGATTCATGGATTATAGACTCGGGAGCCACAGACCACATGACATATGCCTCAAACCAGTTCAGCACTTATACCCCATGTCCTAGCAATAGGAAAATCACCGTTGCTGATGGAACCACAACCACGGTTGCTGGTGTAGGAGATATCCACGGTTCTTAAAAATGTTTTACATGTTCCTAAATTGTCCGCTAACCTTGTGTCCATTCAAAAGCTTACTAGAGACTTACATTGTCATGTTACATTTTATCCCTCTTACTGTGAATTTCAGGACCAGGATTCGGGGAGGAGGATTGGATGTGCTAAGGAAAAGGAAGGACTCTACTACCTTGAGACACCGAGCCTTCTGAGTATGATCAGGACAAATTTATCCTCTTCGTTTCTCTCTTCTTCCAATAAAGATGTCATATGGTTGCATCATTTTCGTCTCGGACATCCTTCTTTTGCAATTCTAAAAATCATGTTTCCTTCTTTGTTTAAGGGATTAAATATTGGGACATTTCATTGTGATATTTGTGAGTATGCAAAACACACTCGTGTAGCTTTTCCCATTAGCAATAAAAGAAGTTCCTCCCCTTTCTATTTAATTCACAGTGATATATGGGGACCCTCCACAGTCCCAAATGTTTCTGGTTCACAGTGGTTTGTGTCCTTTATCGATGATTGCACTAGAGTCTCTTGGATATTTTTACTTAAAAACAAATCAGATGTGAGTAATATCTTTCTCAATTTCCATACAATGATCCACAATCAGTTTGGTACCAAAATAAAGAGGTTTAGGTCTGATAATGCGAGGGATTACTTCAATCAAGTCTTGTCACCCTTCTTTCAAAAGGAAGGAATTATTCATGAGTCATCTTGCATTAATACTCCACAACAAAATGGAGTAGCTGAAAGGAAAAACGATCATCTCCTAAACACTACTAGAGCACTCTTGTTTCATCAAAATGTACCAAAACACTATTGGGGGGAAGCAGTACTTACATCTGCCTACATCATAAACAGACTTCCTTCACAGGTTTTAGGGTCAAGAAGTCCAATGGAAGTCCTTTCTAAATTCTACCCCGACCTTAGTGCCACAAACAACCTTACCCCTAGGATATTTGGGTGCACTTCATTTGTTCATGTCCATCGTAACAACCGGGGCAAATTAGATCCTAGAGCCATTAAGTGTGTGTTTGTAGGATACTCGTCCACACAAAAAGGTTACAAATGTTTTCATCCTCCTACCAGGAAACTTTATATCTCAGCTGATGTCACTTTTGCGGAAGGAATACCATATTTTATTGAACCTTATCTTCAGGGGGAGTCATCTATCATAGAAGATAAGGATTTTTTCCAGCTCGCTTTACCGTCACCATCTCTCTTACCTGTATCAAACACTCCATCCAACTAAGTACCTGAGCCTGAATTTCCTGTTTTGTCACCTATATCTCCTGTTGTGTCTCCTGTGAAGGATAATATGACTCTTAATCACGTACGGTATGGGAAAGGGAAGGTGTACTCGAGGAAGCAAGGTCCAGCTCCTGATCCGATGCAGGCCCAAACCTCTAACCTGACTCCTGAGAATGAGGTAACAGTATCTGAACCTACTCAACTTATAGAACACCAGCTCCCTGGACCTCAAATAATTGACCAGGATTTGCCCATAGCCGTGAGGAAAGGAACTCGAGAGTGTACCAAACGACCATTATACCCTCTATCTCATTATGTATCCTTAAAGAAATTCTCACCAGCCCATATTAGTTTTCTCACGAGTCTAAATGAAATCTCTATTCCAAACACTTTATCTGAGGCATTATCCAATGAAGAATGGAGGAAAGCAATGAGAGTTGAGATGGACGCATTAGAAAAAAATGGGACGTGGGAGGTTGTTGATCTACCAAAAGAAAAGAAAGCAGTAGGGTGTAAGTGGGTTTTTACCTTGAAATATAAGGCTGATGGATCGTTAGAGCGCTACAAAGCAAGGCTAGTTGCTAAGGGGTACACTCAGACATATGGAGTTGATTACCGAGAGACCTTCGCTCCAGTTGCAAAAATGAACACTGTGAGGATCTTGTTGTCATTAGCAGCCAATTTTAATTGGGAATTACAGCAGTACGATGTGAAGAACGCCTTTCTACATGGTGACTTGGAAGAAGAAATCTATATGAGCATCCCGCCAGGATTTGGAGGAGTTGAAGGGAACAAGGTATGCAAGTTAAGGAAGGCCTTATACAGTTTAAAACAATCGCCTCATGCCTGGTTTGGGAGATTTACTAAGGTGATGTTAACTACAGGATACAAGTAGAGTCAGGGAGATCACACTCTTTTCATCGAACACTCAGTTTCAGGGAAAGTTACGGCCTTGATAGTCTATGTGGACGACATAATTATGACTGGAAATGATGAGAAGGAGAAGCAAGCCTTGAAACAATGTTTGATCAAAGAATTCGAGATAAAAGATTTGGGGAGATTGAAGTATTTTCTAGGGATAGAAGTGGCTCATTCTAGACAAGGTATCTTCATCTCGCAGCAAAAGTTTGTCACCGATCTTCTTAAGGAAGCAGGAATGCTCGCAAACAAACCAGCTGCAACACCTATAGAGCCGAACCATAGACTTGG